GTTCTTCACGTCTGACAGTAACCCAGACTTTGGGCTTCGAGATGTCATGAATGTTCTCATCTTCATGAAAGATCACATCTCAACTTCTCACTATCTTCTTATTGATTGGATCCCAAAGTCGAAACCCGAACTCACATCTCGGCGAACCAAGATAAATGCATTCTTTAGTCTTCGCGTCAAGTTTTGCCCTTTCATCTTTAGGGATATGCACGAAAGCTCGGCATCCAAACATCTTCAATTGATTATAGGCCGCTTTTCGACCTGTCCAGACTTCTTCTGAAATTTCTCCTTCAAGTGGCTGTGATGGTGAGAGGTTGATCAAGTCAACAGTAGTTATGACGGCTTCTCCCCAAAATGATTTCGGCAATCCGGCATTGGATAACATACTTCAGACCTTCTCTTCAATAGTCCTGTTCATCCTCTCAGCAAGTCCATTCAACTGTGGAGTCTTGGGGGCGTCTTCTCAAGTCGGATCCCGGTTGCTCTGCAATATGCATTAAATGGGCCACAGTATTCACCAGTATTGTCAAATCGGACCACCTTTAATTTATTGACAGTCTTCCTTTCAACCATTGCATGGAATTCTTTAAAGGATTGGAGTACCTGGTCTTTAGACTTCAACAAATATACCCACACTTTGCGGGAATGGACATCAATAAATGAAACAAAGTACTGAGCTCCTCCAAGGGATCTTTCCGACATGGAGCAGACATCAGTATGGACGAGGTCAAAAATATACCTGCGTTGTCTGGGTTGATCTGGTCTCACAAAAGAAACCTGGTGCTGCTTTCCAACTAGGCAGTGCGTGCAACTCTCCAACGCTTGGCCTTTCAACCCGGTCAGTAATCCTTTCTTGTTCAGGATCTGGAGCCCTTTCTCGCTCATGTGGCCGAGGCGCTTGTGCCATAGCTCCTAGCTAGGTTCATCTCGGACAGAATTGGCTTCTCCGCCATTAATTTTTCCTTGCATCACATACAAAGAGCCTTCCTTCTTGCCTCGGGCCACAATCAAGTTTCCCTTGGCCAGCTTCCATCTAACACTACCGAAGTAGTTCACTAACCCGACATCATCAAGTTTGCCTACCGAGATTATGTTCAATCGCATTTCAGGAACATGCCTTACATCTTTCAACACAAGTCGGCACCCAACATCCGTGGTCAGGGTCACATCACCGACACCAACAATCTTGCTGGTCACTTGATTTTCCATCTTCACGACTCCAAAATCACCACCTCGGTAAGAGGAGAAAAAACCTTTGTGTGGAGTAACATGGAAGGAGGCACCGGAGTCAACAATCCAGGTGCAGTAATTATATGCAACATTCAAATAATTATCCTCACCAAGGAGGAATATCTCGACATCCGGGTTGACAGCCACAATAGTGGTGCTCTTGTCTTCCCTCTTCTTGGGAATAACCGTTCTTCTCGTCATTCTGCAGGGTCCAGCAGTCTGGCTTCTTATCACCTGTCTTTCCACAGTAAAAGCACTTCAACTCATATCTCGACTTTGACCGACCTCTGGACTTTTCTTGCCTGTCACGACCTCGACCCCGGCTTTTGCTTCTACCCCGGGAGTCAGATTTCCCTATGTTCTCAGCAACGTTGGCCTTAGACGTGCTCGAAATACCTTGTTCTCTTCTCCTGGCTTCTTTGCCTAGGAGGCTGTCTGTCACGACATCCATCTTCAATTTTCCATCTGGAGTCGAATTATTCAAGGTCACCACCAGAGTATCCCAGCTTTCTGGCAGCGAGCTCAACAACAGCAAGACCTGCATCTCGTCTTCAATTTTCATTTCAGCCTTTGACAGCTGATTCACAATACCTTTGTAGGTATTGAGGTGTTCAATCATACTCATGCCATCCTTGTATTCCAGCTTCACAAGTCGGCGAACCAGGTGTGCTTTGTTCCTGGGAGTCTTCTTCTGAATCATGGACTCCAGCTTCGTCCACAACTCATACGGGTTTGTGAACTCGGACACGTGCTCAAAGAGGCTTTTGTCAATATATTTTTTGATCGTAGCTACCGCCTTACGACTCTGAATCTTCCACTCCTTATCGATTTTGCCTCCCGGTTTCTCATCAAGGATAATAGGCTCATGTAAATCTTTGCAATAGAGATGATCTTCCATCATCGGTCTCTAATAGGTGAAATTGTCTGCGGTCAGCTTGAACATATCTCCATCATGGGTTATGCCACTGGTCTCCATCTCGTTTCTCTCAGAACCCGTCGAACTCGGGCTCTGATACCACTGTTGGGAACTCGGTTCCCTCAAGCTCGGCTAAGAAGCCTTTTCGCGGAAGTCAATCAACAAGATCCTCGATCTCGGATCTCGGCAATACCTCGGCCTGAACTTCACTAGGTCGGGCAGCGCAACGGAAAATCAAAACGCAAACAGGAAAGAGAGGAGAGAAACACAAACAAATTTTAACGTGGGAAAATCCTCTCCAATGAAAAAGTAAAAACCCACGAGACCTAGTCCAGTTCAAAAATCCACTATGAAAAAAATGGTGGTGGTTAACTCAACCTCTCTAACAATGGCGATAATCAAACCTCCCTAGAGATGTTTCACTCAAACTTCTAGAGATCTCTCAAATACAAAGCATAAAGCTTTGCTCAAATCTCTCAAATAAATTTCTCTCAAATTTCTAATCTCTCTCTTTATCTCTAACCTAGCCTCCGCTCACAATTAATGAATATATATAACAGGTGAGATCTAAGGTTTAGGATTTTTAGAAAATTCTTCAATAGGCTTGGCTTAGCATTGAAGGAGGAAACCCTATATAACTTACACACGTTTCTTCTTTGAACACCTTCCTTAACTCAAAAGTTTACTTCAAAGAAAAAGGAATCCGTAGGCTTTAAAAGCTCATCAAGACTTGAAACATGGTACAAAATAAAGTAAATAAAAAAAATAAAAGAGACAAGGAGAAAATAAAAAAGAAAAGAAAATAAAGAATAACGGCATCCTCGGGTGATAGCTTGAATCTAAAGTTTGTTTAGATTTTTTGAAATTTACCATTCTGCCCCTTGCCCTTTTTACTTGTACGGTACGTTTCATTTAATTTGAGTATTTGAGTAAAACTAGCTTTACAAAGTACAAACACTTGTTTTCCCAAAAAAAAAAAAAAAAAAAAAGTAAAAAACACTTTTTTTGTCGATTGGTATATGATAAATTTTTGCATATCCACAAATTATGATTTCCAAAAATATAGTGGAAAAATTATTTTCTTGAAAATATTACTAAAAAATTATTTGGTAGGCTAAAATATTATCAAAATTTTGTCCCAAAAATGTGTAAATTTTTTCCAATACGTAGGATTCTAAGAATATCATCCCTTTAGTGGTATTATTGGATGGCATTCAGGAAGAAAAATTAACACAAAACAAAATTCTGAAAAAATTAAATTCTCGAAAAAAAATTCAGAAACCTTATACCAAATCTCGATAAATAAGATTATCATTATCACTTTCTCTAGAATCTCAAAATATTCCCCCTACCAAACACTCCTAAAAAAAAGTATAAGGAAGTAAATTTTGAATAAATCGACCTCTCAATGCAAAAAAAAGAAAAGAAAAAAAGAAAAGAAAATGGTGATTATTAAAAAAAGGACAGATTATTCTATTTATCTTTTTTTATGTTTTTTTTATTTATTATTTTTCAATATCGTTATATCAGAATTTATTCTTTTTCTAAAAATTAGTTGAGATTCTAATCTGATAGTTTTAGAGAGTGATAAATAGAATAAGCATGAAAAAATAGGTAAAATAATTGATTCCTTATAAAAAAGAAATAGATTATTTATTTTTTTCCTATCTTTATTTATTATTCTTCAATATGATAAAGGTAGTTAAAATTTTAATCTAATAATATTGAAGAATAATAGATAAAGATACACAAAGAAAGAAATGGATAAATAGAAGGGGAATGATTCGTTTATAAATTTTTTTATATATTTTTGCAAATTACATTATGTACTCTCGGAAGAATATAATGTAACCTAATGTTCTCATAGGATAATATAGTATAATTTGTAAGAGTTTATAAATAAAAAGTTTAATAAATATAACTCTTTCCTAAATAGAAATATGAGTAAATATCATTTTTGGTCCTCAGCAAATTTTACGATGCCTGCTTTAGTCCCTAGCAAATAAAAAGACTATTCGTGGTCCATAAGAAATTCAAACTGGACCCATTGTAATCCTTTTGAGGAATTAATGTGGGTCTTTTTTGAATTTGTGAGGATCACGATTTCAACTAAATGGATCTATTTTGAATTTTTTGAAGAACACGAATAATCTTTTTATTTACTAGAAACTAAAGAGGACATTGTAAAATTTGCCGATCACCAAAAAAGATATTCAATCTAAAAATATAAATAACATATCGAAGTATTCCGCGAAAAACCTGCTATCAACAATGATAAGACCGAAAAGTGTGAGAGACAGGGACTATGATTCATGGCAAATCTTGTCTTTTGGACACAGCACACAACTCAACAACTATCACTTACTTCCAAATCCAACTAACTACTTCTTTCCCATCCTAATCTCTAATGGGTTAAGATTATTTTACACTAGTATAAGTTACACTCTCAATTTTGACTATTGATTCCACTTATATTTAAGGACTCTAAATTTTTAGTAATGTGAGCCATTGGATATAAATGGATCAATGCTCAAGATTGAATGTAAAACTTTTAACTCTTACACTGGTGTAAGAATATCCTACTCATCTCTAATAATTATATCATAAATACATATATATACCAATTCTTATTATTAATTTTCTTATCATAAATTAAAATAACAATAAATGAGAATGGTAACAAGGTTGGTATTAAGAAGTAATAAGAAGATCTCCAAAAAAAAAAAATAATAATAAGAAGAAGAGAAGTGATAAGAATAACCTCTGTATATAATATAAAACAAATAAATAAATTATTTCAATATAAACATAAATAAATCTACCATCTTCGTTCTTTATATTTGTGCCACACAACTCTTCACATGCTTCTTCCACCGAAACTATGGAGTTGCTCGAGCTCTGGTGGTTGTGCTTTCTCTGACTAAAAACCCTGACCTGAACCAACGAGTATAAAGAAGTTAGATAGCGAAAGTTAGAGAGAGAGTGTGTGTCTGTGTGTGTGTGAATGGCGGTGGAGTATTCATGCTGCGGATCGGAGTTCTTCGTGCACATAGTCGTGATCGTGTTTCTCGTGCTTTTTGCCGGATTGATGTCAGGCCTCACCTTGGGCCTCATGTCCTTGAGCCTCGTTGATCTCGAAGTTCTTGCTAAATCTGGTACTCCTCAGGATCGTATACATGCTGGTAAATCATTCCTTCACCTCTCTCTTACTCTTTCTCTATTTCACTGAGATTTGTATGTTTTTTCTCCAGGTGTTAGAATATTAGAAAACACCTCATAATATTCATTCTTGTATCTTATAACATGTTTAAAGTATTTTAAATGATCTCTTAGGATTGTTTCCTTTCATCTTAGGGTTGATTTAATTAAGAGAGACGGTGCTCTCTAGCTGAATGTTATCCCTGATCGGAGTGATATTTAGCATTGTAGAAATGGAGACAACGCGATTGATTCTTTTTGTTTTGGTAAAATATGTAGTTTTTTATTCTCTAATTTTTTTGAACTCCGTGTTTTGTCATTACAGAGAAGATATTGCCTGTTGTCAGAAATCAACATTTATTGCTTTGCACCCTACTAATTTGCAATGCTGCATCCATGGAGGTACAACTAAAATCATATGCTGGCCTGTAATGTATACTATTGTCACATGGATTTAGTATTCAAAACGATTTTGTTGTAATTTTTTTCAGGCACTTCCTATTTTTCTTGATAGTCTTGTTACTGCATGGGGTGCTATCCTGATTTCAGTGACATTAATTCTTCTGTTCGGTGAGGTGAGAAAGTTCTGTCCTTATATGTTTTAAATAAAGCATACTCCACCTTGTTCTTAAAGGGGCGGTTCGTCCCTTTTGACACACAGTGAAATTGAAGTGAGAAATTCGTCTTCAATCATGATTTATTTATAAGTAAATTAATTTCAATCAATGGAAGTTGTTAACATTTGTAAATCTGACTTGCTACTTGTCACTTGTCAGTGTTCGTTTTCCAATAAACTTTCTAATAATACCCTTAGTTAATATGAATATAATAGCATTCAATTACTTAGCATTGCATGTGAAAGTGCTCTGACACATGTCTACTTGTGTGAAGATTATACCCCAATCAGTTTGTTCTCGGTATGGTTTAGCAATTGGTGCAACAGTGGCTCCCTTTGTCCGCGTGCTTGTATGGATATGTTATCCAGTTGCTTTTCCAATTAGCAAGGTGACATACGTTCATCAGAATTTTTATTACTGTTTGATTAAACATGGAGCAAATTTAATTTATTATGTCCTGACTTTCTTTTCCACCTTTTCTTTTTATGCATTGATGTGATTTTCCAGTTGTTGGACTTTTTGCTGGGCCATCGACATGAAGCCCTTTTCCGCAGAGCTGAGTTGAAAACACTTGTAAATTTGCATGGCAATGAGGTCTGTATCAGAGCAACTTGATGTTCTCAAGGCATCCATATTTATGTTATAATGTTTTTATTCATTTTCTGTTGTAGCTGAACAAAACCTGTATTATTTGTTTCATAAGAATGCTGCTCTTCTCTCGACCTTTTCTTTTGCAATGTAAATATGTAATTTGCCCAAAATGTCACTAAGGGCTATCTTATCTACTTTTTTTGGTTACTTGGAATCCTAGCCACGATATTCATCCTTCCATGTTTTTGTTATTGCTCTTCATGATTGAATTGTATTAGGCTGGAAAAGGTGGGGAGCTAACACATGATGAAACAACGATCATTGCTGGGGCACTTGAACTCAGTGATAAGACAGCCAGTGATGCCATGAGTCCTATATCCGAAACATTTGCCATTGATATTAATTCAAAGCTTGATAGGTATGGTGTACTAAAAAATTATAAATGAAAGCTAACTTTTGCATTTTATATAAATTTTACTCATGATTAAATACCTATTACTAAGCAGGGAACTGATGAATGAAATATTGGAGAATGGACATAGCAGAGTCCCAGTCTATTATGAGCAGCCAACAAACATTATCGGACTTGTACTGGTATAGTGTGTTGTTTTTTTCCTGTAAACCTCATACATTGAGCTATCATTTTGTGTTAGATGAATAACTGCTATAACACAACATACAGTTTCATCTCAGTTGCTTTGAGGTACCCCTTTTTTCTTAAAAGTAAAAAAGTAAAAATTCAACATGGCAACTTTCTTTACAGGAGGATTAGTATAGATGTCAATTGCTTTTGACTGTTTGATACAAACTATCTATGTAGAACCTCACAATCTCACAGGAATCACTTGTTGAAGGCTTATCATATTTACTTGGCAACTTAAATTGAAGGTCTGCCTCAATAATGTGAGACAATATCATTACTTGGAGTCATACCGAGTTCTATAAATGCTCAATAATGGAGTATTTTAGTAAATTGAACAAATTATAGGAGAGCATAAGTTGAAAGTCAGGCTAATCAAGACATTACTCACACTTAGAATCATACCGAGTATGTAGCAGTTTGAGCAGTACAAGAGGGGATGGTTGATCAGGAAGAGAAATAAGTTGTATGTCGTGATGTAGGACTAGGAGTTGCTACCGGATAATGGAACTATATATGAACTATCCACCTTAGACAGTGCTTAAGATAGGCCGTAGATGATAATGTCTTCCTTAGGCACTACTGACCCAATAATCTCTCCTATAACTATATTTTCTCTAGTTGGGCATCTTTATTTTTATCATTTCTTTTCAGAGCCATAAGTGGCCAGTTGAGACTCGTTTAACCTGCTTTAATACTGTTGCTATGCTTAAACTTTTTTGCCCTGCTTCTATTGTATGGAATATATTAATAGGAAATTGCTCTGATGCCTGCCAAAATTACATTAATCTCCATCAGAAATTCTAGTAACCACTAACCAAAGTAAGTACGTAGAGTGCAGCAGACATGAAAACAAAGGGTCTGTTTGATTATGGTTTTTTTTTTTGCTTTTAAAAACTGTTTTGAATAAAAAATTTGAAAACTGATTTTGAGAGTAGAAGAACAATACAACTTATTTGAATATAGTTAGATTACAAAAATGCAATTAATGAAGCTTCATAATTACAAGATTACCACTGTAAAATAATTTAAATTTAAAAACAAATTAGATTTGTTTACGAAAATGTCATTAATGAATCCTTATAATTACAAAATTATCACTGCAAAAACAAGAAAACCAGAAAACAATTTTTGAGAACATCCCTAGTTTGTTCTCCATTTTAAGTTTTTAAAACTAAAATACAGTTATTGTTTTGGGAGTCATTTTTACAAAACAACCCTTTCCAAACAACTTTTTTTACTATTTTGTTTTAAAAACTAAAAAACTGTTTTTAAGAATAGAAATCAAACAGGCCCATAAGTTTGAGCTAATTTGCTAGTTTGAACAATGACATTGAATGTCTTGGTTCAATTGGTAAACTTTTCCCAAGGTTTCTGGCCAGTACAGGAATAAAAATTGCCAAAAATTTATGTTCAACTTGGGTATATGTGCTTTCCATAGAGATGAGCAAAAAAATACATTTCTATGGGATAATTTAATTTAAAAACAAGCTAAGTGCTTAATTATCTGGCACAAGGTAGATTTCATAAGGTCTAGTCATATTTATGTCATTCCTGTGTAGATTGAATATGCCAACTATTTGTTAAAAGACTTAAAGTGCTTGCTGCATGTTGGTCAACTATGAAACAAGCTTAGTACTTCGTTATCAGGCACCAAATAACACTCATAAGGTCCTATGACATTGCTAACATTACTGAGTACTGTTGTTGGGTGGTCAACAGTCAACTATTAGCCAAAAGGTTTGCTGCATGTTAATTTTGATATCACAAGTAAGGATATAAAAATGTCACTTTTAAGACGAATATTTTGTAGAAATCAGAGGTGATTTTGGTGACATTGTTGTAATACAAACACGAGAGAGATCAAAATCATCAGGGACCTCAGTCACTTGTTTTCTGGTAGATAAGCCAATATAGCTAATGCAATTGTGATATTAGTACTTCAACAGTATTGATTTTCATTGAGGTTGATGGTCCCTGTATTGTTCATATGAATTCTGGCTGTTGTGAATTTTTTCCCCTGCAAGTTTGTTCGGTACTGTTGTGTCAGTGAATTTATTTTTATGTGATTGCTATTCTTCTGTGTTATTTTCCTTTTCTCTACACATTTTACTAATGCTCACTCGATCGAAGTATCATTTGTTTTCTCACTCCTTTTGTTTTTTGTGATTGTATGTTACTTTTGTGTTCTGAATGTGTGCTGCTTAATTTTAGGTCAAGAATTTATTGACAATTCATCCAGAAGATGAAACACCCGTGAAGAGTGTAACCATACGAAGGATTCCAAGGTATCTTGTATATGTTTTGTAGGTTTGATGGAGATAGGAACATAGGTTTCATATCGTGCTTAATGGGCATTATGTCACCATAAATCACGTTTAGTAATTACATATAATGACAGGGTTCCAGAAAGTATGCCACTTTATGACATTTTGAATGAGTTTCAGAAGGGCCATAGCCACATGGCCGTCGTTGTAAGACAGTGTGACAAGACAAAGCAGCTCTCTTCCAAAAATCATGCAGATGGTAAGAAAACATGCGGTAAACAGTTTAAATTTTTTTTTTCTTTTGCCAAAATTTTGTTTAGATTCTCTTTGAAGCTGAAATTTTCTTTCATAATAAACCCTCTGTGACTCATGCCCTCTAAAATAGACTCGGTGAAAGATGTGAAGGTGGATATTGATGGTGAAAAGCCTCCCCAAGAGAAAGTTTTGAAACCCAAGATGCCACTCCATAAATGGAAAAGCTTTCCAAATACAAACAAGTCAAATAGGGGTGGTTCTCGGAGCAGAAAATGGTCAAAAAATATGTACTCGGATATTTTGGAGATAGATGGAAGTCCCCTTCCTAAGCTCCCTGAAGAAGAAGAAGCTGTTGGAATAATTACCATGGAAGATGTCATTGAAGAGCTTTTGCAGGTACTTAACGTTCTTTCTGAACAATCCCATTTGCTCTTGAAATCTTGTAGAATGCAATGTTGTTTACTTGTAGAAAGCTTTACTGACATCAATATTTATGTGTAGGAGGAGATCTTTGATGAGACAGATCATCAATTTGAAGACTCGTGACAATGGCCTTTCCATAGAACAGTCTATGTTCACATTCTTGTTTGGACTATATTAGATTGTTAATTAGATAATGCAGTTTAGGGTGAGAGATGACTGGAACGTCAAGCTTGTAATACTTTTACATCAAACTCTCTTTTTTGAAATGGGCATCAATGGGTCGCAAGGATATGAGGAATGTTTAGCAAATCTAGTGTTTTTTGAATTAAACTATAGCTACTTGGATATGGATTGCATATATGTATCATGAAAGAGTACTTATATTTAGTACGAAGAGCATTCTAAGAATTTGACTACGAAAGTAAAAATGCATAGCAATACACAATTAAAACATAAAATGGGTTTGAAAAAAATTCCGTACATTTATTATCTATAATCACATTATCACTCTACAATGGTACTTTCACGAAATTCCCTTCATTTTGTCTTACTTGTTGCTGTCTCACCTTTGACCACTTATTTTGTTTCTTGCTCTCTCCCATCGTAATATTATATGGGTTATGTTTATCTCATTTTACATGAGATAAACAACTCTCTTACACACTCAAAAAGAGATTGAGTCTCACCATTTTTTTCTCTCTCCTCTTACCTGTGAGTCCTACTTATACTTTTGTTTCTACAACATAAAATAGTTTTTTTTCCTACAACATAAGAAAAATATATCCAATATTATATTACATAATAGTTCATTGGGTTTTAAGGTTTAAAATTACACGTTCTCGCCTACCTATGCTAAGAAACTCTATAATACTTAATTATTTATTAATAGAATATGGGTGACAATGATCGAATTGATCGCGGAGACCCTGATACCATAAAAAGAGAGAGAGCATTCAAATAACAATAATGGATATGTTGGAATACTTAATAAAATAAAGGAAAAATATTTGTCATTTTAAAGAACATAACTTTATGTCATTTTAAATGAAATGATTGTGTTTTGGTATATATTGGATAATTTTTTACATTCTCTCTACTCTATAAAATTAGGAGAGAGAAAGAGAGTATTGCAGAGAAAAGAGAATATAAAAAATAATAAATATGCTCCAAAATACAATTATTTCACTTAAAATGACATAAAATTGTAATATTCAAAATGACGAATATTTTTTCCTAAATTTAATAGCATGGGTATAGAATAGAATCGAACGAAGTGGTATGGAGTAAAATGACCATATCATTATTTGAGAAATAGGTGAGCACAGTTTGAACCGAATCGATTTTGGTTCAAAAAATCAAATTATTGTATTTAATCCGAATTGATTTTAATTTTTCCAAACTAATTCATGTTTCAAAATCAATTTATGATTTATAATCGGTTTAAAACCAATTCAGATATGCAAATTAATTCCGAACCTCGTTTTCAAACCGATTCTATTAATTCGATTTAATCCTTAAACTGGTTTATAAAATCAATTCGGGTAACTCATACAATGCCCAGATCTGTGAAATTGAGCTTTTCCTGTTAATGTTAGCTTAACTCCAATAGCTAGCGTAATAGCAACTGTTCCGAGATGCAAATTTTATTGCCAAACTAATGTTCTCCAAATTTTGAGTAACAACAATAGCTGCTTTCATACTTTAGCCAAAAGAATCATAATTGATATCTGCAGCTGATAATGCATTGGATGTTACAGAATATCCGTACAAAAGACAAGCATTAAGTTCATCCAAATTGACTGCAAGTTATAACCTTCTTCTTGGAGAATATCATATTAACTATTAGACCTTAGTGATGATGTTTACTTCTTTTCTCCTTCCTCTTCTTTTTCTCATGCTTAGAGTTCTCTTTTATTCTACTCTTCTTAGAATGTTCCTTATCCAAGCTGTCAGTGTGAGACTTTTTAGACTTCTTCCGCCTCTTTTTATGAAGCTCCTCCTCTTCTGAAGATTCGTATGACTTCAGTGATGAAGGTCTCTCTGGACCATAAACAACAGGACGCTCCCTTACATGAGAACTAGCACTAGGCTCATCCTCTGGGCAATGTGGAAGGTAAGGACCTGTCTCATCCATTCTTGGACCGACAGCACCTCTGCCTCGTTTGATCCTGCCAAATGGAGTTTCTTCAGTTCCAAAACCAAACATAAATGAGATTATATGAAGGCATGCATGCACATAAGACATCAGAAACCAGTAAAAATAATAATAACAATACCTTGAGTGTAGAAATTTCTCTAGCTCTTCATCCTTTAAACCTTCTGGACAATGCTCATATTCACTTTTATATGAGCATGAAGCAGAGGTACTAGAACTGTTATCAACTATTGCATGTCTTCCTGTACTTCTTGATGAGTTATCATCCCCATGGCTTCTGTCACCACTGATTTTATCTCTAGATATGCGTCTAACCCGTTTATCCAGCTCAAGTTCTTTCTGCCGCACTCGCCACATCTCATTTACTTCCACAGATCTATTGGCTGGTAGAAAGCACCAAAGAAGTTCACAGTTAATTAATATAGATAGACTAGTAGCTCAAAACACAGACATCATGCTCTCTCCCTAAGAAAGTATCCAACACAAGAGTGGAGGATGATTTGACTAACATTGTTAAAAAAACCACTCTCCATTAAACCCCAACTAGTGAGGATGAGGTGAGGGCAATTCTTGTACGCAGCCTTACTCTTGCATAATTACAAAAAGAATGTTTTCCAGATTCGAATGTGACCTTTCAGTCACAAAGGAACAACTTTATAACTACTCGAGCCTCGCCCTCTTATTTGACTAATACATGACAACTCTAACTAAAGGAAGTTTGCTCACCCTTTAATTCTACTAAAAATGAGGATGCATGTGTTTAGAAAATGTTCACCTTAATTTCTCAATGCAATTATAATAATCCTCAAAATGATAAATAACCAAACTGATCAATAGAAACACAGACTGCTTTAATACAACCAGGGAAGGATGACCTGTGAACCAGAAGTATAACCCTCATTTCACAACGCATTTTGATAAAATTTTCAAAAAAAACACATTATAGTACCAAAGGTCATCCATCATCAAGAGCAATAATAAGCAAGTGTTGTTTTAAAATTAGCAATTAAGAACTGACCTTGTTGTACCCCAAGTACAGTAGCAGTGAGAAAACGTGAATTTGGCCGATACCGAACATTTGGCTGACCAAGGTAAGCAAGAATGCCTTCCTTTTGAGACTTTCGCTGCAGTTCAGCTGCTTCCCTCATAAGAATAGCAGCTATTCTGTTTTCAGTCTCCAGATCCATTTAAACGACTGATCAAACTAAAGAAGACAAACCAAAAAAGAGAATAAATTCAATGAATAAAGTAAACAAAAACAAAGAAACAGGTTCAGGGTGATTCTCCCATAGTTAAGTTCCCAAATACTCATCAATGAAAATAAAGGCATAAAAGAAAGAGTAACTAACAGGATCAAGGTCTAAGAACTAAAATTGAAATAATACATGAATGGGAAACTATAAAGCAAAGATAAATAATTTTTCCATCTCTTATGAACATCAATCAAAAATACTAATCAAAACCTTACACCTCCTGATTACTATTACAATTGTCACCCAGTCCTTATTTTTAACTTCATTCAAATGTATTTGTTTTTCCTTTCTGAAAAAGACCTGTAAAGAACCCTAATTTCTACACTTGAAAGTTCAAACTGTAAATCCCAACCCCAAAGAGGTTATAGGGCAGAAAAGATAGCAGCAGACAAAGTAACATCAACGTTGGAGCCCTCAAAGTTATTGGGGGACTAAGACCAACACAGAAAAAGGTAACTAAAAATGAAACATTTTACATTACCAAAACCAATATTCTAGTCCTACCATACCAACACAATGGGTGTTCCAACCAAACAAGTAAAAAAAAAATCAAAATTAAACATCCAATTACAATCCAATCAACCCCAATTGAATTCCTGAACCACAGAAGCAAAAAAGGAATGGAATTTGCAGTGGTATCAGAAACCCCAGAATTGAATTCTTCCACCGTCTCATTAATCGAATTAAGGAATCACAATCACAGGTAGAATAACTGCGATTCGGGAAAACAAATAGGAAAAAAAAATGTTTTGTTAATGTAAGTAGCTGCTACCTTTGTTGTATCGCTTGTTTCTCCTCTCGCTGATCTCTCGTCTCAATTCTTCTCCTCCAATTGACTCTTACTTTTTCCTCTTTCTTAATTTTTTTTTTTTTTTTTGGGTAGATTCCTTTTTCTTAATTTAGGTTACACACAACTCATATTTATTTATAATTTTTTTTTTAAGAATTTGGTTTTGAAATATCTTATCACTAAATAAAGACATAGGATATTATATTTATCTTTATTTAATAGCTATTTTATTTATTTGTGTTATATCATTATATTATAATCTCAATCAATAACGAAAATAGTAGCAGAAAGAAAGAGTTGATTGAGATTAATAGATTATGATCTAATAATGTAAAAAAATAAATAAAATATTATAATCCATAAAAAAAAATTGAAATTCAATATTTCAAATTTATTTTTTATTATATATAGTATTTATATTATTATATTTTATATTGATTTCATATGTTACACAATAACATAATTTGGCCATATTACAAAAGGAAATATTAATCTCATGTCACATGAGACAACAACTCTCTCCTACACACTCAAAAAGATATGAGTTCCACTTCAATTTTTTTCTCTTTTTTCGTGCAATAGGACCCACATAAAATTGTGAGTGCAACATGAGATAAATATCTCTAAGAAAATATAATCCCTATTACAAATTATCAAACTGTAAATATTAAAAATAATTATTTCATTCTATTTATTTATTTACACACATATTAAATTAGAATTTATTCATTTTAAAATGATTACATCCTTTTATTTATTTTTCATAAAAAAAGTGATACGTTCCATTTTTAACTTATCTCGTTTTTTATTTTAAATTAAATTTAAATTTAAATTTAAGATTTTGAATTAGTTATATATATATTGTTTTAAATTTTAAATATTTTTTCTTGAAATTTTGAATTTTAAAATTCTATTTAATTTAGTCATGCATTTTTTTTTTAAATTTTAAACAAAATGTTTATGCATTTTTTTTTGGTATCCTGTTTATGCATTTTGTTCTTTTAATTTATATTTTTTATACTTTATTTAAATTTAAAATTATCTAACCCGTAAGGGTAGCTCAACCAATAAAGTTGAGCGCCCAGAATTGCCCAATAGAAGGTTCGATTCTTTACCGAAACAATTTTGGAATCCTAGGGAGGCTAGAGGGATAAGGTTTTCCCTCGGTGGAAGATTAGTCTTATCTTGACATAGCTCAGGAATTAGTCTCATCTTTTTTCTCGTGGTTTGTTCCGATGAAAAGGTAGTTTTTGGGATCATACTCCAAGACAAGATGATCAGAGGAAGTTGAACGAGGATACCTGCAAGTTTCTACCAATTTTTTTTTTTAAATTATCCGTATAATTCTAATTTTATGAAATCTTCGTTGCATACATCAAACGTGGTTGGGTTTATATATTGCTTTCAAAAACCAATACTTTGATGTTTTTGTTTTAAATTTTTTTGAAAATGGCTTTATTAGGTTTCTTACTTATTAATGCTTTAAAAAACTTAGGATATATACACTAAAATGTTTGATTAGAAAATCATAGGATGTTTGTTATCTATTATGAATTAATTAGGAATAAAATTAATTTGATCAAAGTAAAAACTTTATTTTGTATACATATATCAGTATATCTAATTATAATTTAATATGAACAAAGTTTAATTTGTATTTATTAATTTAACATTCTTATTTAGTTTTGTAACTATCCATTAACGTAAAGAAACAATTTATAATACCCCTAACCGTTTAATTAGAAAATGGCATGTGATTAAATATTTAATCATGCATAAATGAGTTAAATTAAGTAAAACCTAATTAAATAAATTAGGGTTACTTTCGAAGTAAAAAGTACAGTCAGTGATAATTTTGTGGTAAAAATATGTGTAGAAAAATTACCCAGAATGCAAAAGTAAATTTAGAAATATGGCTGAAAAAATATTCTAGTTCATTGGGTAAAGTTTGGTATTGAATGAAGGTGTGTAGATACATAAGTGGTTACCTAGTTAAAGTAACTTAGCCTATTTAACTTTTTGACACCGAGACACTCCCTATTTCTTCTTCCAGAGCGCCTGTGTCTTTCTTTCTCCATGAAAGGAGCTTAAGGGTTTTATTTTCTTTCCTTTGATTTCTCACTCTACAAGCATCCAAATCATTAAGTGCATTAGACAAAATTCATAGTAAATCACCCAAGGAATCCATTCCACCACTTTGTTTGGGCTGAAATTGCTTGTAGAAAGAGCTATCCTCTTCCCCCAATTCGAATCACTATTTATCAAAGAGAAGAAATTGGAGTTTTGATAGAGCTTTGCTTGGAGATTGTCCTCTAGGCTTGGTATAAGGGATTAGCGGTGAGAAATCTCTATTTCCATGGTTTGAATTTTGTGAATTAAGTCTTGAAAGTTTGAAGCATGTTTTGGTGGGAGATTTTGAGTTTGAAATTAGAAATTTGTGATGAATTAGTGTTGTGTAATAAAGTGTAATGTAGAATAACCATGAACATGTGTTTAAAAATTTAAGAAAAATTCCCCTTGAACCTTCCCTATGCATTTCGGCCATTAGGGTATTATTAGGGAAAATTATGTTAAAATTATGTTGATGATGCCTTTAAGTCCTAATGCATGATTTTAGTATGATTTGGAAGTTAAATGGTTTAAGATAAAATGAGAGGCACCTTAGCTCCCTTGTATGAGTTGCCATGACCTTGTGAACAAAAAAATTAGGCAAAGTTAAGCTTAAAATTGTTATGAGAATAATTGAATAATTTAGGGGCTACGTGTGGATTCTATGAACTTTGAGTTGCATCTATTGATTTGATGCAAAAATTCATAGTCTCCCTAGATGTTGTTCGGCCATCATAGGTTATTAGGGTGTGAGGTGCAAAATTTTATTGCATGAATTGAGAAGGTTGATATGTTGGAGTAAGTGGAAATTTAAGTGAATTACTCAGAATGCCAAAATGGAAAAAATTCTATGTTATTGTATCCCTATGTTTCAGCCATAATGCACCATAGAGGAATTTGATGTTCAAAATTTAATTAGACATAGTATATCTATACATGTATGTGCAAGTGGTAAATTAAGTGGAGATAATCAATTGTAAAACAAATGAAAACCTTGACTTTCCTTAAGTGCATCCCACGACTTTGAAAGGAAAGAATAGGAAAGAGTGTGCTTGAAATTGTTATATGGGTGCATAAGGAACCTAGGAGCCTAGTGAGGATTCTATGAACTTTTGGTTATGTTAATTAAATGATGCAAAATCTCTAGTTTTCCTTGATGTAGTTTCGGCCATTTAGGGTTTTTGGGGCTAGGGAGTGATTAATGTTGTAAAATGGTCTAATAAGAGAATTTATGAAAGTATGGTCTGGACTTGTGTGTTGGCATAGGATTGACAAAAATGTAAAGAAACGAAAGTAAGCGATAAAATATATGCCTTATGTAAAATCTCGACATGGTATCATTTTATTGATTTTTGTTTTGGATTCTTTCTCTAGGTGTGCCTAGGGACTGAAAAGGGTTTGGATCCTACTGAAGCTATATAAGTAACTTGTGCTACAAGTAAGCAGATTGGTAAAGCTTCAAGAGGTAAGCTCTATGTTTAAGGAGTCTTTTCCTTCTTGAGTGCTCCACCATGGTTAGTGAACTATAGTTGGATTGTATGATTGTTTTTTATGCTTTGTATAGATGCATTCATATAGAGCTATTTGATAACATGATATGATTTGTTCTGATGTGATTTTTGTATTGATCTTTGGCCATTGATTGTATTGTACACTGACGTCCGCTTGGGGTCCTCCCTCGGGACTGATGATGTAAGCCTATGATATTTATGGTTCCGCTTGGGGTCCTTCCTTGGGAACACGTGCATTGATTTCTGCTTGGGGTCCTCCCTTGAGAATGACTGCGTACGCCTCTGATAAGATATGTATATATGTTTTGTTTAGTGATGATATCTATTATATGTTGCTTTGTATACTCTGTATCTGACTCTCATGCAGGAGTGAGCCTAAGGGTATAGAAAATTCTCTATAAACCTGGAGCTTATTGAGATTTGTTATCTCACCCCTTTTTGGGGACATCATTTCAGATTCTCGGATTCCCGGTGAGCCCTCACTAGGCAGGGACACGACCCGTGGTTAAAGGTGCTACGACGGACTAGATTTTGGAGTAGCTGTAGGCTACTGTTATTTTGGAGTACATTTTGGTTATTTTGTATTCCATTCTTTGGGTGGATTATGATGTCTGATCCGATACTTGTATATGGCCTGTATATGTTTTGTACATGTTTTCGTTTTGATGCATGTACACTTGTGTATTCAGGCATGTTTATTTTATGATACAGTATTCAATTATATGTTTACCTGTTGGATTTGCATGCTGTTAAACATAGTGGCACAGAGCCAAGTTATGCATGCGTCCATGGATGAGTATATGATCCTATATGGATATCTGGTATTCTGAAAGTATATACTGTATAGACTGTTTATCAGGAACCCTTGAGAGTGAGATTTGCAAATCCCCAGTTGTCCGATTTAGAGGTCGTTTGTTTCACCTTTTAGAAAAAGTAACTTTTATCACTTCCTTATTTTAAAAGTACTTTTTATAAAAGTTAAAGCTATTTATATTTTTATAAAAATATTTAGTTTTTGAAAAAAATATTTGACTTTTGACTTCTGCTTTTCTTATAAGTTAAAATTTTTAGCTTATGAAAAAAAGTAGGTTTTTGACTTTTTTTGTGACTTCTCATTTTTTTAAAAGCAGACATCCAAACGAACAAAAAACGAGAAGTATTTTTTTCTTGAAAAAAAACAGCTTTTGAAGAAAAAAAAAGTTCATCCAAACAGGCCCTTATAGAGGTTACTCTGTCCGATTTTCGTCTTCGCCAAATAAGAATTAAATTAGAAGAAGTATGCAATGTGTTATGTCATGCAAAAAAAGATTAGAGAAAAAGAAAAAGTTATCTCATATTTTCGTAAGTTAAGTCTTCCGCTGTTTCTGTTTGTATTATATGTTTGTTAATTGAACCGGCTCGAGACGAGGATGTTACACAATTCAACAAAAAATTTAAAGTGTTAATAAATTTTATATTAATGATTTTATATAATATTTTTCTAATATGTCTTTTCACACAAGAGTTATTGGGCTTAAGAATGGATAATATACATATCCACTTATGTGTGATATTTTGTAAATAATCAATTCATTTTAAAAGTTTAACTGTTTTATAAAAAATACATTAATAATTTTATATTATTATGATATTTTTCTAATAAAATTGATTAGATTTATGAAAGAATTCTTGACTATATTAGGCATTGTGAAAGTAATTTAAGCACCAAGTGTGGTGGCTCAGTTGGTAGCACGGGGACTGAGTGGTGGGAGAGGACCTCGATTCGAATCCCATCAACACCATCTGGGGAGGGCCATAAGTACCGTAATCCTTGGACTCGCACCCGAACTCTGGATTAGTGAGTCGAACCCGTGGGGATACCGGGGTTCTGATTCCCCTCAAAGAGGTAATTAGGATCAGTTTCCAAAAAAAAAAAAAAGTAATTTAAGCTAAAAATCCAATTTCCTAAAATCTTATATATTATCACTTTTACATAAAAATAATTAGAAAATTGATTAATTCGTATATTATCACTTTTAAATTTAAACAAACATTTCATTTAAAAAATAAAAACAAATTCTACTCCTACAGCACGTGCATCGCGTGCCCTAATCTTGTCTAGTTTAAGGTTAATCAGATCAGCACGCCATCGTTGAACATTAAAAAATAAAAAAATAAAATAAACAGTAAAGTCCATTTTGTTCTCTAATAAATAAAATATGGTCCTCGTTTTTGTTTTTTATAAAAAAAAAAAAATGCATGTTAGTTTTTTTTAGGAATTAAATTGGATCTTCGTTAAATTTTTGAAGGATCACATTTTTTAAGAACCGGTAAAAAGACAAAAAATTAACTTTTTTTTGGGTAAGGAATATAAATGAAAACCATATTTTTGTTAGAGACCTTAAAGAAAATTTATCAAAAATAAAATAAAATCTCAACAACCAAACAACAGTGTCTAAGTGTCTATCAGGTGTGTTTGAATGTGATTATGTTTTAAAAATTGTTGAGGATAAATTTTAAAAACTGACTTTAAGAGTAAAATAATAGAATTTGTTTGAATATAATTAGTTTTAAAGTTATAAAAAAGTTGTAGTTATTTATAAAAATATCATTAATGAATTTTTATATTTATAAAATTATCATTGTAAAAAAATAATTTAAATTAAAAATAAAAATCAATTTAATTATAAAAATATCATTAATGAATCTTCGTATTTACAAAAATAGCATCGCAAAAACCAAAAAAAAAAAAAACTTTTTTTGAAAATATCCCTTAGTATTTTGCTTTCTCAGTTTTTTTTTTAAAAGCAGATGTTATTTTAAAAACAAATACAATAAAAACACTCTTTTCAAACAACTTTTTGTTTTATTGTTTTTAATGGAAAATAATTTTTTCATAATGTATAAGATAATTATCTCATGCATGCAACGGAGATAAAATAGTGGAGTCCATTATTTTTTTTTATTTAAAAAAAATAATAAATCTCACTTTATTATTTCTGTTATATGAGATAATTATTTTATCTTATGCCACATGAGATCAACACATCCGTTTTTTAAAACTAGAAACATTTCTGAACTTGAAAGTTGATATTTTGACTCTCTCTCTGTCTCTCTCTGTCTCTCTCAATCAATAGGGTTGTAGCAAGCATTAATCAATAGGGTTATAGCAGCATATAATGTTACAACTACAAGTACTCAACGCCACAGATCTATAGTTTTCAGTAGACGCTCTTCAGAGATTTCATTTCTACACTCTACAGTCCTAGTAGCAGTAGAACTCATCTCCAATCCAAAATGTCTATAACTCAAAACCTCACCACTTCAATCTCTTCTGCTTCCTCTGCTTTCTTAGCTCCCTCCACCTTCAATTCTAGGTAATTAATCTCACTTCATTCTTTATTGTCAACATTTGGATCTTACCCACAATTCCTTTTTTACAATATTGATTCAAAACTTCATCTTTTTTCTGTTTACCCTTTAAAAATTTAATTTTTATTTTTTTTGGGGTCTCCCTTTGGCTGCTGCAGGAGTCAGGTTTCATTGCCTGTGAAGAGCGTGAGCATTTGTAAATGCGTTGCGATACCCCAAGAAACTGAGACTGGTACCCTGAAATCTTCTCTTTCTATTTTGAATATTATGATTCTTCTTGTGAGTAGGTAGTAGCATAATTGGGGTGCAAATGCTAATTAAGGGGATGTGGTTCAGTTCATGTTCCCTTTTGCAATGTTTTTATTGAATAGTTAATCAAATCAAATTCTGGGTAGCCATTTCCATGCTGTTTAGTCATCTAGTATATTGTGTGTTGGAAGGGTGGTTGTAGTGGTATATTCTTGAAAAAGAGCATGGAAGTTGCTTCATTGAATCAAATATTTTAGATCTAGTTTTGAAGTTAGATAATATCTTTTCCTTTTCGTTTTGAAGCCTACAAGACAAAGGTCTCTCGCAATGCAAATATAGCTAAACTTCAAGCTGGCTATCTCTTTCCAGAGGTATGTAATGTTGCTTGATCTTTAGGAGTTGGAGCCATACATTCAACATTAGCAGACGATGCCTTTGGTCAACAGTTAATCATATGATTTTCAAATGAAAAGATTGTAATTTATTGTTGTGAAGTATCCATAATGGAAATGAGATTTTTCTTACAAAGCATTTTACTCTTGAAATTTGCTTATCCTATCTACCTCAATAATAAGAGAGAATTAGAGAAATATGTGTCAAAATACTTATTCATTCTTTGTATATGCACTATGTAATGAATCTGTGTATCCTTGTCTCTCTTACGCGCCCTGCAACTTTGAGGTCGATTCTTTTTATATGATGTGAAACTAATTTTCTGCCTTTTCACTGACCTAGTTTTGTTTTTAAATTTTATTACAAAAAAAGGTTGCTAGAAGAAGGTCTGCGCACTTGCTGAAGTACCCTGATGCAAAAGTAATAAGCCTTGGCATTGGTGATACTACTGAACCCATTCCTGAAGTCATATCTTCTGCAATGGCAAAGGTATAACTTCAATTGTATGAAGCTGATATTTATTTCGTGTTTGGACTTTGGACAGTAGAAGTTGGAAATCTCCGATTATTGGTGAATTCCTATATAGTACCAGAAGTGTTCCATTATTTTTATTTTTTTCAGTAGCTTTAATTTTGTCATCTGTATAATTCCCTCGTGTCTAATTCCATCTGTTTAAGTTTACCTTTTATTGATCATAAATATTTAATATTTTGTAGGTATAACTTTTATTGAAAAAATGTTAGTTATAAATAGTACTATATTAATTCAATTAAATAATACTAGTGCTTTGCATGTTGCTAACCCAGAATTTAAAAATGTTTTTTCCCCCCTTTTAATCAGAGATCACATGCATTATCAACCATAGAAGGATATAGTGGTTATGGAGCCGAACAAGGTGAAAAGGTATGTCACATCGACGTCTTCAAGAGGTTTTGCCTGTTTTTCTATTTTCATTCTTTGTTCCTTCCATAATCTACTGTTCTCCCTCGCAGTTACACAGTTTTCCACCCTTTCCGATCATTAGTGGACCTATCTGTCTATTTTTTCCAGCAGAACAATTACTGTCTAGTATCAATTGTAAATATAATTCATTGCAATGCTAAGTGAAAAAGTAAGAGGTTTATTTTTATATTATGAGCATTTGGTTTCCTGTCTTTTCTTGATCCTTGAAGCATTTTACAAAAGAGGGATGCTTTTTCTGTCTTTAATTTATATATTATGTTTTTTCTTTGTAATTCTATAAAAAAAATTGTCTTTATAATGAGGGATGCTTACTACCTAAGTTCAATTGGTTAATTTATATATTTCTTTCACATTTGTCAGTAGCAGTTAGCCCACGAAAATGGTACAGCGGTGTAGCGGGTAGCGGTATTGCCGCTACGGTGAAGTATTAATTCTACATATATTATACTGACAATCTAATACTACACAAACATAAATGCTCAAACATAAGAAGTCACACAAAATCAAACACATAATTCCACAATCAATGTCAAATACAAGGAACATAAAGGAAGGATCCAAAATTAAACACAAATGTATAATTAATTCCACAATATCAAGCACATAATTCCACAATCAATGTCAAATAGCAGGTAGCGTTGTGTTGTGCACCTGTACACGCCACTATGCTATGCCGCTACTGTTGAGATATATAAAACCATTAATGTAGCCTCACCCAACAGCTTAAACTTTTGGGTTGAATTGGTTCTTTACAGCTACCTTCCGCTACTGGCCAGCGTCCCGTCCCGTCGCGGTTGTAGCGGCTAGTCGCCGCTACTCGCTACTGTAGCGGTGTGGTGGCGCTACGGGCCGCTACTGACAACCTAGATTTCTTTGATGTTAATGTTTACCCTTGGGGGTATTCAATTAGATATGTATGCAAAGAGTTTGATTGTTGAACATATAGTTACCTCCTTTTATTGTTTTAAGTCTAAGCACATCAAACTGTACTTTTTGTTGCCTACATTTTACATGAAGTTTATGATACTTGGAAGATGAAGAGACATCTCTATATATGCAGCCGTTAAGAAGTGCAATTGCTTCAACATTTTACAACGATCTTGGCATAGAAGAAGATGATATATTTGTCTCAGATGGGGCAAAGTGTGATATATCTCGTCTCCAGGTTCATTTGTATTTTTTTTTTTAAATATATTATGTCATTACTTAAATTCCCTATTCTGCCTAATGTGCTTTTTACCTGGACCACTTACTGTGATTGGATTCTAAATATATTCTCCTTTGTGGGGATGGGAGTGGCAAGTTAATTGGGTGTTTTCAACAGTCAATAAGTTCTTCCTTAATCTAACTAATCATTTCTTTTATTTTCATTTTGTGACAGGTTGTCTTTGGTTCAAATGTAAAAATGGCTGTGCAAGACCCATCATACCCGGTAATTCATATCTTTGTGGAAGTTTAAAATGATGTTCTCATCAGTTGCTCAAGAATTCGTTTATGCTTCGATATGCCAAAAATGGTGACACTGGTTCTGTTTAAATTGTTGCATCTTATTGATTTACTGTGTGATATGCTGATTTATGCACTTCGATGCAAGGAGAAAATAGTTGGGTTAGCCTGTTTCTACATTTTGTTTTTGTGAGATAAAATAAAATGACTTGAAAGAATGTTGTTCATTCTAATCCTTTCAAAAAATGTTTTTTTAGTATTGAACTATCGATTAGCAAACTTTGAATGAGAAGACTGTTTATTATTTGAAAAAGTGACATGCGAACATTTGAAAACACAGAAAACTTCAATTAGTGTATTAATGTTTCAACTTGATTAATAATTTTTGTATTTTGAAATGATTGTTGAAAATATAACATCTATGATTGATTATCTATCTTAATATACTGGACATTGTTGTCCCTTCCAAATCTGAGAAAGAGTCAGCGTTTTCTTCATGGGGACTTATTTGTAAGTGTAATAAACTATGTTCAAACTTTGGTTGGATGAATGTAAGACTATATCAAATTCTTTTGAAAACGAACTCAATAGAAATTAAACATTATATAGAAAGTAGGAAACTGAGGGGATACTGCAGTTTATTCTGCTCAAGTTACTGGACATTTTGTCTCTTGTAGCTGTTCTCTGTAAATAATCGAACTTTTGTATGCAGGCCTATGTAGACTCAAGTGTAATTATGGGCCAGACTGGCAACTACCAGAAGGATGTTGAGAAGTTTGCAAACATAGAATACATGAGGTGTAATCCAGAAAACGGTTTCTTCCCTGATTTGTCTTCTATATCTCGACCAGATATAATTTTTTTCTGTTCGCCAAACAATCCTACTGGTGCTGCAGCGACAAGGGAGCAACTGACCAGACTAGTTCAGTTTGCTAAGGACAATGGGTCTATAATAGTCTATGATTCAGCGTATGCATTGTATATTTCTGGTGACAATCCACAATCCATCTTTGAAATTCCTGGAGCCAAAGAGGTCAGTCTGTAACTGATAATTTGATGTTATAAATACAATCTTTGAAAATCACAATATAAATACAATTTTCATAACATTCTAACTCAATTGAGCAAAAATATTTGAAGACACAATTTTCGAAGGGAATGAAGTAGCAGTTTGTTTCATTTAGTGATAAACCAATCAACCTAGCAACAAAACTATGTCTTATGCATGTATTGATTAGTACTTGAGTGATAAGTGAGTATTCAGTATGTAACCATGTGTACCCGATAAGTACCAATATGAACACATAACAACTATTTAGAAGTACCCAGGCATCATAGTTTATAAAAGATGGCCCAAATTTTTTTAATTTAATTAGGAATCCGTTTTTTATGCTTAGTGAATACCATGGATATCTGTTGCATATAAATGTGTATGAATGCTAGTGGCCAATTGCAGGTTGCCATTGAGACTTCATCGTTTAGCAAGTATGCTGGGTTCACTGGAGTTCGTCTGGGTTGGACTGTGGTTCCAAAGCAGTTGCTGTTTTCTGATGGATTTCCTGTTGCCAGAGACTTCAACCGTATTGTATCTACTTGTTTCAATGGCGCGTCAAATATTTCCCAGGCTGGTGGTCTGGCTTGCCTTTCACCAGAAGGTCTTAAGGTCAGTTATTTTGTTTGATTACTGAGGTTTTTGAAACAGAAATAAAATTTCCATACATCATTGTAAAGAACCTCTCATATCCTGCCCCCTCCTCCTACCATTTTCTAGGAAATAGGTCCACCATTGCCAACATCATTTACCCATTTGATGCTTCCGCAACTTCTGTTATTATAGCATTATTAAATTTCAAATGCATTTGCTCTATTACACCAGCCTTTTCAACTACTAACTTTATAAATAGCCAATTGTGGACTTTGAGGTGGTTTTCTTTAATCATGTAGAGCAAAATGAAAAACTTGACATATATTTGTCAAAAAAACAAGTTACATAATAGGCTTGCTGCATTTGAATGCAGGCTATGCGAGATGTTATTGGATTCTACAAAGAAAATACTAGCATAATAGTGGATACATTCGATACTCTTGGGTTTAAAGTCTATGGAGGGAAAAGTGCACCATATGTGTGGGTCCATTTCCCGGGCCGAAGCTCATGGGATGTATTCGGCGAGATTCTTGAAAAGACTCATGTAGTTACAACACCTGGTAGTGGTTTTGGACCTGGGGGTGAAGGTTTTATCAGGGTTAGTGCTTTTGGTCACAGGGAAAATGTCTTGGAGGCCTGCAGGAGATTCAAGCAGTTATACAAGTGAATTTAGAATATGTCATTGGTTTCGTACTGTATTCTCTTGGGACTGTATCTGATCGTGCTTTCTTGGAATGGTAGTGGTTGTCTTATTTAAATAATGCAATTGATTTTCCTTGGAATTTAGACTTAGATGTAGAGACAGTGATTATCAATTGAGGACGTTTATTCTGGTGCTATTTGCCTTTTCATCTTGTATCGTGTACCTGTGGCCTGCAGCAGCACATCTTAGATGATGATGTTAAATGTTTTATCTGTTTCTATGGAATGTCAAAATCTAGCAATTCAACTTTTATAAGGCTACCAGGTTTCAACTAACAAGTGCTTATGTACTTAAGAGTAACCCGAGCCAAAATTCTCATTCCTGAAACAACTTTTATGTTTGGGACCACTATCCGCCAGGTATTTCGTTAGAAGAGCAACTGAGTATTGCAATCTTATTGCCTGAGATACTGCATTTTAGGCTAAAAGTGATATCATAATCATAAATAATGCGTTATTTTGAGGGAAAGATTGAGAAGAAAATAAGCCATGATAATGATGTATTCATTCTTGAACAAATTGTTATAAATTTAGCATTGATCTTTTACCTCATGCATGAATATTTGAATGCTAGAATTTGGGAGGAATTCCTTTCTTTTAAATTCGTATCCAATCATCTAGGCAACTGCAATGTTTTGCATTAAATTGAATTGCTAAAAAAAATAAGGGATAACTCAAGATAAATTATACTTTATTTGATTTTTAAAATAGTATAATTACTTAACAAAAGGTAATTCAAGAGACATCACAAAATTTAAATTTTTTATTACCCACAAAACTATGCCAAGATTGTCTATTGCATCAAAGGAAAAATATTAATAATTGTTGCTCCCTTATTTTTTTTCATTCGTAGTTAATACTTAAGTGTGCTTGTTTAGAGTAAAAATAGATTTTTTTTTTTTTTTTTTGGGGGGGGGGGGGGGGGGGGGGTGAGTGTTTCTGCTAATATAACTTCATTACAGCAGTCAGGAAAAAACAAGTATAGACATGCATTCAAGGTGTAGCAACTGAAAGAACCTCTTTAGTTCAAAACAAATGGCAAGATTTAGAGACAAGAAAACACTAAAAAGAAGACAATTGCATCGGAGGAATTTTTTCATCCTCTTCTTTCTCCCATCTAAAACCATGCTTCAAATAATCTTTAACAACTTCTGATTACATACCTGCCAATGTTCAAAACTTAATTTCTGTTACACCCGTGATTTTTAATACAAGGGATATATACCTATCTTACATGACCTAGTCCTAAACATAAGGTCTCTACATGCTAATAAACTACTTCTTTGGTGAACTACATAGTACAAAATTAACCATACTAAAACTGTTCTATACTATTAATCATCTCTGCTTTGCATGTTGTCTTGTAATGTCCAGTTTGATTACACCGACTACAATGCACTGTATGTTTCTCACGATTAAGGTCCTCCACACAAATCCGTTTCTTTTCCGGCCGTCCTGGCGGTCGCCGAAATTTCGGTGGCCGTACAACTACTATATCATCAACCATGGCAGACTCATCTGTTTTTCTCCATTCAAGTTTTCCTGGGATGGGGTTTATATCCTCTACATAGGTTTCCCTGTAACTTGCAACAGTAAAACACTTCTTAGTAAATGCATAGACATCCTTACGACATGACTTGAGAGCAGCAACAGCATGGGAGCATGGTATCCCATATAGCTGCCAGTCACGGCATGAACAGCTATGGCTGCCAATATTTACAATATCTGATCGATCAGCTGAAAGAACCTCAAACTCTGTTTCATCTGATCTAAGGACTTGATATGTAGATGCATGGCTATTGGCTTCAATCATTTGCCTCTCAGCAGATGGGGCAAGCACAGAGATCCATGAACTACTTTTTAAACGCCTGTCATCAAACTCGGTTTTAAGCTTGCTATGAATCCGCTCAATCACCTGGATAATTGGCAACTCCCTGGCTTCAAGAATCCATTTATTGAACTCCTCAATATTAGAGGATAGATGGCCATATCGTGTTCCTTCAAAATATACTAGGGCCCATTGGGAAGGATGGAATTGCTGTAACCATTTAGCAGCTTCAGGAGAGACCTCTTCTATTTCAGCTATTTTTTCTTTAAATGCAATAGTTGTGGTGGCATATGCAGCCTTCCACAGAAGATGGACAAGCCTAGAGTTCTTGAACTCTTTGCCAATGCTATCACTTAAGTGACGCAAGCAGAATGCATGAGAAGAATTTGGAAACTTCCTTCTTATTGCATCCATAATACCCTTTTGCCCATCTGACAAAAATATAAGCTGTGGCATGCATTCAGTATTCAACTCTAGTGCCTTATGCAACTCAGACAAGAACCATATCCAGCTGTCATCATTTTCTACATCAACAACACCAAAAGCAAGTGGAAACAACCCACCGTCAGCATCAAAAGAAGTTGCTGAAAGTAATGTGCTAAGGTATTTGCTTTTCAGCTGCATACCACCTAGTCCAACAATGGGCAAACAACCATTAAGAAAACCATAAATTGATGCATAAAAGGAAACAAAAAGTCTCTGAAAACAGTTATCTGCACCAGTGGTAAACACCTCGGCAACACTTCCAGGATTTGTTTTCTTTATCTGTTCACAGTATGAAGGAAGTAGGAAATATCCTTTTTCAGAAGAGCCATAAATTGCTGCAAGTCCCCTCTCCTTTGCACGCCAAGCTTGCTTATATGGAATAGTTATACCATACTGTTTATGGATATCATGTAAAATATCTTTCGGTTTATAATTGATGTTATCTCGCAACCTTTCTTCTATAAAACTGACAATCCAATCAACAGAAGCCTGGTGGTGCCCATTGTGTGCATTTCTCCCACAAGTATGTGTCCCTTCAAGACTTCTTATGGTAAATGTTGGGGCATTAGGGAGCTTGACAGCACGAATCCGCCATGGACAGCCCTCTGAGGCACACTTAGCAAAGTAGCGAATCAGATCACTTTTAATAATACGAAGCTCAAAATGCTGTGCGATAGCAGCTTCTTTAATTGCATTGCGGAATGCCTTCACGTCAGGGAATTCTTGACCAACAACAAAATTGTAATCTTCCATAGTCAAGATTTACTTATCTGTTATTAGATGTTAACTTCAATGAGGTAATAATCAACCACTCAAACCTGTAATAAACTAATAACAGCACCATTTTCTCTATAATATATGCAAAAGAGTTTTCTCATTAAACCAATCTGCAATAATCCAGCAAAAAAAAAAATATTAAACATAATCAGAAGGGACTGGTTTCTGTAAACAAAAAACTAAGGATTATCAGGCAAGCAGAACTCTACAGAAATACAATAATAACTTCTTAGACAAATTATTGCATCATAAATATTATCATGATGATATAAACGTAAGAACACTGACACAATTGCATGGATATGTTTTTCAACAACAACAACAACTAAGGCCTTTAGCCCCTAGGTGGTGTCAGCTGCATGGATCAAACAGCATCATTCTATTTTGTCAAAAACCAATTCTTCAAGCCAACACCGGTTAGCACAAGTAGTGGAGATGGACTATGTCAACTAAGTTGGCTAGGGTTTGTATCTCGCCAGGGTCCGTAGTTGGTTGATTACATGTTAGTACTACAAGCACTCATCGAGCCTCAGGTATGCCCTGACCCTGACCCAGATCCTGACCCTGGGTAGCCACTGCTGACCCTAAATTCTCCTTTATAACAAATTCTTCAAAAAGGCCATTTAAATCTTAATCCTTTTTAATTCTTGGTCTTCTGCTACCTCTAATTATTGAGCTATCCTTCGTCTAATCAAGTGTTCTAAATGGGTAATCTATTAGTCTACTTCTCATATGTCCAAACCATCTTAAGCTTGATTCTACCATCTTTTCCTCAATAATTGCCACTCTTACCCCCTCTCTATGCATTCATTCTTGATGTTATCATTTCTTGTATGACCACTTGTCCAACACAATATCCTCATCTCCTCAACACTTATCTTAAGCTCTTGTAGGCCCTTTATCACTCAACATTCAGACACACTTAGAGACACCTTTCTATCACAAATACTACCTAAAAAGCATTCCTTCATTTCATCTACCCACTTTGAATCCAATGATTTACATCTCCATCTATTTCTCCATTGCTTTGTATGATAGATTTAAGATACCCAAGGTAAAAAGTTAACAGCTCAAGGTTGACTCGTGATGTGAACCTATATCCTATAGTAAAGGGAAATCTTATGTGGCCCCACCATGTGTTTGCATACTAGTTTTAACCCCATCATACATATCCTTGATAGCCCTAATATAAGTAACATGAATTCCCTTCGTCTCTAGAGCCTGCCCCAAACTTCTCTTTTCACCCTACCACAGGCATTTTTCAGGGTGAGCAAAAACTATATGTAGGTATTTTCATTTCCTCCATACCTTTCCACCAAACCTCACAAAAGGTATATTGTTTCCATAGCTGACCTCTCAGTAGAGGTGGCAAAGTGGGCGGCCCGCCCCGCCCCGCCATCAACCCGCCAAAAAATGAGTCAGCCCGCCCCGCCCCGTTTGGCGGGTTGGGCGGGTTGGCCCGCCAGCCCGAGCCTATTTTATACTGACCCGCCTCGGCCTGCCTATGCCTGCTATCAACCCGCCAAAAAATGAGCCCGCCCCGCCCCGTTTGGCGGGTTGGCCCGCCGAGCCGAGCCCGTTTTGCCGGCTCTACCTCTAAGGCATAAAACCAAATTGGTTTTCTGAAGTGTGAGTATCTTGTTTTAATCTCTAATCAATTACTCTTTCCTATAGTTTCAAAGTATGACTCATGAGTTCAATCCCTCTATAGTTAGTACAGTTACGTATATCCCCCTTCTTATAAATAAGTATCAAAGTGCTTATCCTACATTCATCTGGTATTTGCTTAGATCTCATTATGCAAAAAATACATGAGCCTTCATCTAACAGCTTAAACTTATGAATTTAATAAGTTCTTTACATAGTATCAGAGCCTGTGACCAAGTGGTATAAAGTTTGATCCTTGCCACCCTTTTTCTTCTAATAAAAATTAAATAAAGTCAAATTCAAGCACAAGGAAACTAAAAATAAATAACAAAGCTTGTGCATTATCCACATTTCAAAGTCCAAAAAAGATTCTCGTGTGAGAGGGTATGTTAAGAAATAATATAATATAAAATAATACATGTGTCTTCACCTAACATCTTCAGCTTTTGGGTTGAATTTGTTATTTACAAATTATCTCATTAAACAACTTTGTGAGCCCGGTTATACCCGTCTCCCCTATGCACTTCTATACTTCAATAGGTATATTATCTGGTCCAACCCTTTTTTAATTGTCCAATGCCCGTCCTCTTTAGTGCTTCTTTTACCTCAAACTCTCGAATTCTATGATAAAAGGTATAATTTTGATCCTCTTCTCTAGTGTTTAAAATATCTGAGTCCATTAAAGTCACATGTCCTTCATTAAATAACTTGCGAAATAACCCTTCTACTATTCGTTGATATCTTGTTTCGCGACCAAGACTTTACTCGCTTCATATTTAGTGCATTTCACTTGATCTAGGTCTCTTGTCTTCCTTTGTCTACCTTTAGCAAGCCTATAAATATAGTTTTCCCGCATTTGGTACCTAGAGATTGTATAGCCCTTTGAAAGCTTTATCTTTTGCTTCATTCATCGCCTTCTTAGTATCTACCCAGCGACCTTATATTTTTCCCAGTCCTCATAATTTTTATGCAAATGCAAAGCTTTATAACACTCCCTTTTAACTATACATTCTCTTGAACACATGCATTCCATCATCAAGATTCTTTATCCTTATGTTGAAAGTTGATTCACCAAGTATCTTTTGCTACCTTCCTAATACTTCATGCTATCTCATCCCACATATCGTTAGCATTCTCTTGTACTTATCATATCTCTTCTTTTAAAATATCCATCTGAAAGCTCATTCCTTTCCTCCCCTTAGTTGCCACCACTTGATCCTTGGGATTTGTATTGGCAAATTCTCCTTACTCTCATCCTAGCACATATATCCTTAACAAAAATAACCGTGTTGGGTAGTCATGCTCTCTTCAGGGATGACTTTGCAACCCATGCAAAGTTTTCTATTTGCTTTCTTTACCAGAAAGAAATTGATTTGTGAGCAAACAACCCCACTTTGTACATGATAAGATCACTTCTTGCTTCCTAAAACAAATGTTTGTTATTTGAAATAAAGGACCAACGAAAAATCTAAAATAGCTTTACCCTCTGCATTAAATTCCGCTAAACCATACCCCGCATGCAACTCATACCATCTAGATTTGTTCCCAGCATGTCCATTGAGATCCCTCCTAGAAAAATATTTTCTCCTAGTGGTATTTCATGAACTAAACCTTACAAATCCTCCTAAAATTGTATATTTTGTTGCTCGTCTAACTCTGCTTGGGGTCCATATACACTGATAACATCCAAGGTATCTTTTCCACTACAAACTTCAAAGCTATGATCCTATCTCCAACCTTTCTAGCATCCACTATATTAATTTCCAAATCTTATATGCTGTTATGCCTATTCCATTTCTAGATCTTACCTCGCGTATGTATCAAAGCTTAAAACTTGACATGTCCAATTCGGTCCTTTTCTTCGATCGACCCACTTAAGTTTCTTTTAGACACATAAAATTAATCTTCCTCCTAATCATGTTGTCAACTACTTTCATAGATTTACTTGCAAGTGTGCTAATACTCCAAGTTCCAAAATGAATCCTACTCTCGCCTTTTTCCCACCTAGCCAGAAAGAGATGTGAGATGAGGTTCTTCAGCCATTACTTTTCTTCAAGTTTGAATTAGCTTCTTTACCCTCACCTGATCATGAAACTGTGGGAACTCTTGATTATCTTTCACTACCCCCAGGCATCGATGCATGGATATGTCAATCAACATAGAACTATTTACGTACCTTTTTATTCTTTATATAACAGCCTATTTAATGACTTAGATTTGCATCATATGTTCATTAAAATGTATTTTATTATCTACCAAAAAAACATGTATTTTATCAGAACATATTATACATTTACGTGGAAACTGGTAAATTGCACTTAAAGTTGTAAATATTACAAGTACAGAATCACATAACCACACATGGCCTACTACAAAGAAAGAAGAATCCTAAGAGCTATGCTGTATTTACTATCGTTTACTATTAAAATGCATATAAGAAAATGCTATCCTCATTCACTTTCAAAGTCATACAGACATTCACACCCTCCATCGTTCAATTCAGATTCATTAATGGCATCTTCCTTCTTAAAATTCATTGGGTCATTCGTGAGTTAGCATCTATGAAGCACCGACACTTCAAAAAACCCGACGTGTCGTGTCCGACACTCCAACACGCATTGCAAAGACTCAAAAAAGGGTTCAAAGTTGGATTACAATTATCATTTTATTGAGTTTAATGTATATATTTGTGATATTTTATATTTTTTTGTAAAATTAATGGGTATTATAAGTTTAGCTTCATCTTTTTGTTAAATTAAAAACCAAAAAATAACTCCCCGTTAAACCCGACTAGTGAGTATGGGGTGGAGGAAATCCTTATACACGACCTTACCCTTGCATAATTGCAAAGATGTTGTTTCCTGGATTCGAACTCATGACCTTTCAGTCATGAAGGAATGCTCCGGTTTTCCCCCTTTATCTTTTTGTTAAATTATTGAATATTAAATAAAATATACACTACATAAATTAAATTATTATTTAATATCAAAATGTGTCCCAATGTGTCGAAATCAAATATTTTTTAGAATTAACGTGTAAGAGTCCCGAGTCCCGAGTCCCGAGTCCCGAGTCCCGAGTCCCGAGTCCCGAGTCCCGAGTCCCGAGTCCCGAGTCCCGAGTCGGTGCAACATAGGTCAGCATTGCACGAATGATACTGAGGGAACTCAACTTGTATTCACATGTTTATTAAAAAATAAAAAATCAATACAGAATGACATGGATATTGATTTAAAGCAATAGAAAATTCAATGATCTGCCATCAGTATTCCAATCTCAACCATAAATGTTCGCAAATTCCTTTCTAAACAGAAAAAATAAAATAAAATGGAGGACATGATACTCAAGTATGATACAAGTTCCAACCGCCAGAGGCAGCTGCTATTTACAAGCCCCAAATAAAAAATCCAACTTAGTTGACTAGAATAGAACTGAGTAGAAAGGCATACACGTAAATGCTTTGTTGAAGCAGAATATGATCAAAATAAATAAATAACAAGTGTTGAAACAATCGCACACAAATTTACAACATGAAACACCTCAACCTCAGGATGCCCACAAAATAAAATCGAACAAAATTGAAAAACTAAAGAACCATTATTGAAAAAATACATTTTTTTTCCTTGAACACAATTCATAACAAATGGGGCATCGAAACAAGGTATTGTATTTTTGAAGGTAGAGTGCAATGAAAGGAAATAGAAACAGAGACATTCGTTTACCTGGAGAGGAGAGGAGAGGAGATGAGAGGAAGAAGAGGGTGTTGAGAGAGAGAGAGTGAGTAAGATCCAATGGCATATATATCACTGTATACAGACAGAGACAGAAGATGGTATAGTATAGGGTGGGTATTCTAACGAAAGGTTAGGGTTGATTCGGTCACCTAGGGGTCCCTATTGTCCGTTTGGTAATTCTAAAAAGCTGGGCCATTTTCCATTCCACATTAAATTAGTTAAACTAATTTATATTTATAAATTTTTTATTTACAAATTTAATTATATTTTTTGGGATAGACTTGATTAGAAATAAATAAAAAATAGGAAAAATGTTTGTCCTTCTAAATGACACAATTTATATCATTTCACTTTCACAAAAAGAGGTGAAACTCGTATCTATATATTTTTTTGTTCACTCTCTCTCCTCCTTTATCTATCTCTTTCTCTCACTTAAAATGACACAATTTTACATCCTTTAAAATGATACACATTTTTTCCATAAAAAAATCCATTAATATTCGATTAGGATATTAAAGAACTGAAAAAAGGATTGGATTAGTCTTTTTAGTGGATATTCTTAATTCTCTCATCTCTTGAAGATATTTGTTCTAGATCAAAAAAGAAATGACCCCCCGAATTCTTTCGGATTTTGAGGCACATTAAAGTGGAATATAAGTCCCCAAAAATAAAGAAAACTAAAATAGTATTAGGGGGGGTCAAACTTCTTCTATTGGAAGAATGTTATCTCATATAGTTAATAGGGTATATCGTAAAACCAAAAAAATCAATAAAAAATATAATAAAATAAATAGAATCAAAATAGAAAATTTGGAATATGGAATTCGGATATTCTCTGAATATTCTAAATATTCGATAAATACTATTAATAGAAGCTCACGTGTATTCGATTAGGATATTAAAAGATTATTTTAGAGTCATCCAAATCATTGGTATTCAATCAGGATTTTAAACAAAGTAAAAACAATCTTGTGGCATTCAAAAATCTTACGACTTTAATGGATTTTCTATTGGTGTGTATTTTGTGAGACTTTTTAGTGAGAAATATAAATAAGATGCATCTCTCACAATCTTACCCTAACTCCTAAGATTTCTTGAGATTTCTCTATTCATTATTTTCTTCTTCCTTTAGTGGGTTGACCCGCTCAAAATCGGGTTCCGCCATGGGAGCTTCGTCAAAGCTAAAAAATAACAGATTTTTGAGCGATTTTCATCACAAAACAACCCAAAAAAAAACAAACCAACAAGATTATAATATAATCCATCTCAAAAACAGCAGATTTTTGAGAGATTTTGGAAATTTAAAAAATGATTTTTCAAGCTATGGATCGCGATTTTCTTGGCACAAAAATGTATGATTTTTGTATTAAAAATAACATAAAACTCTCAAATCAATTTTCGTTTTACATCAATGAAACAAGATCAATTTAAAGAAAGATTGAAACTTTTATAATATAAACTCTATATTTTGTAACAATACATTTATGAACGAAATTCCTTCGCTATAGGAAGCAATTTCAAGCAATTTTTATATCAATAGATGACTAAAAACTTATTTTTCAAAAGCCCCAAAATAATTTAAGGTTTTAATGTATCGATTGAAAATAATTTGAGAAATTTTCTAAATTTTAATGTAATAAAATCTAGAAGTTCATATTCCAAATTTTCTTAGAATACTGAATGAAAACATGCTTATGATATATGGTTAGAAAACTTTCATCATGTAGAACAAAAACTCTAAGGTTTCCAAGATCAATTGCAAAAAATTTCAAATGAAATTTTGTTATGAACTTTAGGTTCTATATGTAAATTTAGAATTATTTTAATAACTAAATAAAAACTGGGTCTTATAGTCATATATGCATAGCTCATATCAAATGAGAAGATAATTTGTTGCTAAGTAATTTTGAATGTTTGTTAAAAATTATATTATGTTTTATTAATTGAGAAAATTATATTAAGTTTTACTGTTTTTTATTAATATCATTGGATTTCTTTGTTATTTTTTTATTGACTCTTGTAATTTTGAATGTTGTTAAATATTCATATGGTTTTTTAAAATATTATATATTTATATTGTCTTTCAAATCTTTTAAATTCCATTAAAATTCTTTAAAATCCAATATTATGAAATCTTGATTGTAAAAAATGTCTTTTATAAAAGTCTTTAAAGTCCGTCCAATTATAAATAGTCTTTTAAAATCTATAAGATTTTTTATCTCAAAAAAATCTTTCAAAATCCTAATCCAATACACCTCCCTTATTTTCGTTGCACCTTTAGTACATTCATAATATAATTATTTTAAAGTTAAGTATGTAAATTATTCATAAATTTATAAATATCGGCTTTATCTCTAAAAAAACGATGAATTAAATTAAATATATTTATTTGGAATAAAAAATATATTATGAAATCTTCAATTTTAGTTTTAGCGAAAAAAATTCTCTTTCAATGTATTCCATAATGTAATAAGAAATTCAAAGTTAGTTTCTTCTTTAATATATATATATATATATATATATATATATATATATATATATATATATATATATATATGTTAGTTGCTAATTTTGAATTTTGAAAATATTTTTTATTCTGAAAATAAATTCCTAATTGTCCAAGTTCTAGGATAACATGATTATATGTGTATCCTTACAAAATATATGAGACTTGATGATGACTGACTTGAATTTAAACAATTAAAAATCAATCTTAATTACGAGGGATTTGATATGATTTTGCTTTAAAAATAAATCCATATCGTACATATGTACGATACTATGGTTACAGGAAGACTCGTAAGATACATAAGACACTTGAAAATAGTAAACTATACAATAATCATTATCATATATCATCGAATCGATTAATTTTCTATTAATTTTCTTCTTCCTTTTTTTAATCATTTCATAGTTATTTTTTATTTTTAATTTTTTTTAATTATTAGTTTTGGTTAAGATTACAGCAATAAGACAAGAATACGTCCCTACACTAATATTCTTGCAATTTACAAACACATTTTAAAGTTATGAGCAAATGAAACATGATTAAATACATAATAAGTTAAATATAAATGTTCAATCAAAATGAACCAAAAATGTTTTTGTCTTCTTCTTATTATTTATATTAAACAGCACTCTGTTAATTTTCATTTTTATTTACACATTCCACTTCGTAAAACATGCCTGCAAAGGAATACAGATTGTGCACAAAAGTAATAGATAAATAGAAACAGACCACATTCTATCTAAAGTTGCTTATGGAGTAATAACATACACATTCATGCATATCAAAAGTTGCTAATAGTAAACCACTACTACTACAATTACTACCTAACCCTTATGTAATCAACATTTGCAAAAAGTGACTTTGCGAATGGTGTTACAGAAATACATTGTCCCAAGAAATTGTGGATAAACCATGATCACACAATGAACTAAGTCACAAAATATGAGTAGCAGATATGGAAATTCCCATGATGACCAAATTATCCTTAACAAATGGGAGATCAAACAAAACAATGGAGGATCTATAGATCAATTTGTGTTCTTCATGCCTATTTTATAAATTTCATTGCTATGTGGCAAAGTGCAACTAGGTTTGGCAAGTCCTCTATAAGAATTTGTTGTAGCTCAGAAGTCTTCTTTTCTAAAATGGCAGAAAGTCTTCCCATCTTAAGAAGAGTCCAATTATTTATAAATTGAGTAAAGTTATAATCTTTGACAAATGACAATACTATTTTCAATTTTTTGGCCATTATGGTTGCTTCAATCGTCACGCTACAACGACATCTTTCTATACTATATACTTACCTTGCCTCTCATCTAAGTGAAATGTATACGGCAATACCATACTAGTAGCCAAAAAAAGGTGAACTGCATTGAAAACAAAGCATAGAATTTTTTAACTCTTGATGCTTGGAAGATTTGTTAAAACATTTTTTTATTTTAGAATTTTATGGTACAACACAGGTTGCAGTTGCACAAAATCATTTTCCTAATTATGGAATGGAGTCCACTCTCTTATTCCTTTTGGTAAATAGTGGACTAATACTGGTGCAAATAATGTGGGAACTGTTTTATGTATTCCATGTTGTTCCTTCATGTATGTTCTGCTAATGGACAGGAGGAGTTCTGTAATATGCAGGCACAGTTGCTGGGAAGAACATTTGTCTTACACCTTCAGCCTTGATAATGGGAAAAATGATACCTGATGCACCCTGGAATATCAGGAAAAAAATTTGATTCAAACTCAAAATTTGTTACACCATTAGTAGCCAATAGCTACTAGTATTTGATAAGATTGTGGCAGCAAATGATTAGCAGTGATGTCTGAGATATTCTATATGTTCAAGCAAAAAATGGAAATGAAAAACACTCACTGATATCAATCTAGCTCCAATCCACATCCGTTGTGGTGAAGGAAATGGTATAAGCAAGCGGCCAACACCATATATAGCCACTGCAAAGAAATGGAGAACCAAGCTCAATGGACGAGGATTTAGACCAGAGAGTAGAGCTATTGGTCCATCTGAGAAAACACCTCCAAGGCTCAAATAATCGAAACACGCTTGGCGCATTTCCTTTCTAGCTGGGTCAGGGGATGCACAGAACACTTTGTACAATGCACCAGCTAATGTGTTTATTGTAGATGCCACTGGCTGCAAATAGAATGAGGCATTGCACTTAGTACTTTTTTTTTATTTATCATTTGATTAAGCATTGCAATAAGGAGGGCGAGCCTTTAAGCAGTTATAAGGTTGTTTCTTGTGATCAGAAGGTCACAAGTTCGAGTCTAGAAAATAGTTTTTTTGTAAAAATATAAAGATAAGACTGCGTATAATCGATCATCATCTCCACCTTGTGCACGGGAGGTTAAGCATTGCAATAACTTAGGTGAAGGATCAAAATTAGATTCATATCATACTTACTTTGCGTAAGGTGTAGAATGATTCAAGGTATTTGCAAAGAGCAGAAGCATCATGCAGATCATGCAGAGGTTTGAGTAGATCCCTTAGCACAACAATGTCAGACAAAGCCACAGTCATTCCTCCTCCTGTTAAAGGGTGACGCATATTGAAGGCATCTCCCATCAGAAGGGCCCCAGGCGTAGGATAAGGTGAGGCAGGCATGCTTCTATTTGGCATGGTTCTTATGTTTCCTTTATCAACTGCTGCTAGAAAAGAAGTATACAGTTCTGGGGGAACCTGAAACATACAATTTTCTCAGTTAGTTGAAGCAATATGAAACACAAATTAGTCAAAAAAATGTAGGGTATCTAGCTTGATGTGTAAGAATGTTCATTAGTATGAAGCCAAGGCAAAGATATATTGGTACCTGTGGAGCTACCACAGTTTTCAAATAAAGGGCCATTTCACCATTACCAAGGGATGGTAATTTTTGGCCAGGCACATCAACCAAACAGCGAATCTCAGTGCTACTGATGGGATAAAACAAAACGGGTGAAGGATCACCCAAGATAACGTGTCCATGGTTTGCATATGGAAGATTACAATTTTCCAAGACCAGACCAACAAAATGAGAGGGTACTTCAACCTGCAGAAATAATGATATCTGTTAAGCAGCAATAAATCTATGAAGTTAAACAAGTAATCCCATTTACATTCAAGTTGAGAAAATTCTCATATAACTGAAAAGAAACGTAGCATCCTTACCTTAGGATTGCAAAGAGAACGCCTCAAGTTGGAAAAACAACCATCACAAACTATGGTAAGGGGAGCCTTTGCCGTGAACTCTTGTCCATTCTTGGTTTTGTAGTACACCCCTTTGATGGTTCCGTTTTCTTCAAGTAGAGATGTGACAGTTCCTTGTTCTAATTTCACACTGCAGAAAATTGAGATTATGAGACTATAAGAGGATGTAAACGAAGGATTCAACACAATATGAGTGCAAATGTTGAACTTCATATAGCAAATAAATTTTCAGAAAAGCTGGGAAAAATGTGTACTTTGGAAGTGATGAAGCCTTTTCTCGCATTCTCTGTATGAAACGGCCATTGTGAAAGCTTCTCCCAGAAACATCAGAGCTAAAATTTTCCAAGGGATAAGACAGCTTGGTGTTTTTTCCATCCTTATAAAGAGCATAGCCAAAGACTTTCTGAGAATCAATTTCATCCACACAATCTGCAATAATTTGAAACATCCATCTGTTAAGTGCCATGAATATTATCAGCAGAATCAGGGGAGTTGTTACCTAAAATGCATACTTCAATTGTCACAAAATCTTTCATCCTTCAAATTGGTACCAAGTTGTGTCATATTTGACAGGTTTCTTGCTTACCCTCAATACCCAACTCAAGTAACTTCAGGTAGCCTCCAGGTTGTAGCAATTCACCCACAATCCTATCAGGTTCACTCAAGTCCCTCTCAATAACATGCACTTGCCGTCCATCCTGCAATAAAGAAGCACAAAGCAAGATCACTGATCATTCTCAAAACAAACATATGCTCCAGTCATTCAAAAATAAGAGGCTTCTCCAAAACATCTTTTCAAGCATTTTATCTTATTTTTCAAGTCAACTCTTAATAAGTCCAGAAAGCAACCATTGCAGCATCATGCCACAGAAAAATGAAAAGGAGCTTATAAGCATAAAATTGAATCTGGTAAAATAATTATGCAAGTACTTTCTGATGACATTAGTCCAGTCCAGTGAATCTAAGAACAGATCATGGAAAAGAATTATTATTAGAATTTTCACAGATTTTTATACTTTCTTTGTCTGATTGCTGGAAAAATGAAAAGGAAAAAAAGATAAGAGAATTTTATGTATGGAACAAATGTTCCATATTCTATCCAGACTTGATCTAATTATTTTTATTTTCTTAATCAAATTGAACATAAAACTTACTCTTGTTGCCTTTCATTCTCTTGAAGCTTCTTTTTGTTTATTAGTATTACTTCTTTTAACTTGGCAGCAATCTTTTTCTTTGGAACATATAAACAGATATATGAATAAAAAGTTTCTTTTTCATTTTTTTTTTTCCTCCAGATTATAACTGAAGCAAAACCATCATACAGATGAAATGTATAAACTCAAACAAGGGCAGGAAGTAAAAGCCTTGTACCTTTCCAAGCGTATAAGCAAGGGCTGCACCAGCAACCCCAGCACCCACAATGATGATGTCTGTATTTCCTGTTGTCTTTTGTGAGAATATTCCATCTTCTGATTTCTTTGCACACCCTTTACTTTTTAAATGAATTGAACCTGAACCTGTGGCTTTCTTCTTTATTGCAAAACTGTACAGAACAAACATAAACGCCAAATGACAAGCCAGAATCCCAACCAGAATATAGTGATAATCCATCTCCAAGAGATTAGTGAAACAGGGTTTGCAAAAGAGAGATAGACAAATGAGAATGTGATAAATGAGAACACAAAGTCCTTCTTGTTCCTGTTTATGTGTGACCTTTGATGGATTACTTCTGCTACTATAAATAAACAAGCAAATGGTTGTACATACTTAAGCAATAAGTATAGGTCTTGTGTTTATTTTTTTCTTTTTTTATTTTGACATTATATTTCTACTTTTTAATAAAGAAACCCGGATTCACTTACCTACCTCCCACTTTTAAAACTTTTTCTTTCTCATCATGTTGATACAAAACATGTGTGAGATTGTTAAGGATTTTGAACTCTTACATTAACGAGTCTCGTACGTATAAAAAACACAACATAAGATGACCGAGGTTGTGGTTTTGGTTTAAGTATTTCACAGCTGTAGGATGGAATACTCGGAGCGTACAGGAGAATTTTTTTTTTTTTTTTTCAGAAAATCTCAATTTTTAAAAATATAATTTTTAAATTCAGTTTATGATAATATCAATAAATTTAAAATTTAAAAAAATTCAATTTTCTGAAATTTTTGAAGAATTTCGCGTACCACCCCTTGGTGGATAAACTTAAAAGTGGGTTATCGGTGGAATTAAACATATCCTAGTGAGGTGTAAACCTACCTGTTTCGTGCCTAAAAAATGGGGACAAGGCACGTACTTGCCACCACCCCAATTTCCCATTTTCATGTTAAAAAACAAAGAAAGAAAGAGAGATAAAGAGGTAACTTAATATTTTGCATGTTTTTGCACGCAGATACTTTACATATCTTAATATTTGCCACTTGCTTTTATTTTTCTCTGTATCTTATTTTGTGTGGCTAAGGGCGTCCCTCATTTAAAGCTATTTAGTAGTAACATAATATTGTTAGGGATAGAAACTTTCAAAGAGATCAGGTGACACGAATATGATATTAAAAATTCGTGTTTATGTTAATCAGTTTTTAAGTTTGTATTGCTAAAATTTGATGTGAAAAAATTTATGTCACGCAACACTCATTTATGTTAAACAACTGGAATTCATATAGAGTATATTTGTATTTGTGTTGAATCTTAGACCGATATAAACACTGCCCATTACACGAATTGCCTCCCAATACTAGTAGCTAAGTTACCGTGGTCCACGAGCAAGAAAAAATGGATGGGACTCAGATGAGAGAAAGAGAAAAAAGATTGAGAAGAGAGGAGAGAAAAACAAATTTAATACAAGTGTCAATTAAAAAAAAAAAGATTGTGGCTCTGATACCATATCAAACAATGAAATCTGTGTATTTCTTTCTTTGTACAGAGATAATTATATATATTAATTTTGGGCTTCAATCAAGTCACAATTCACTCTAAAAAAATAAAAATAAAATCATAAAATTGATGTCTCCTATCAATCCATTCTATTTACGATTAATTTCTACAATTGCTAATACAATTAAAATCAAATTAATTATTGATTGTAGATGGTTCTAAAACATATTGAAAATTCTCAATACAATAGCCACTTGTACAATTATGTACAATCATTACATGAATACTGGCAAGCAAGCACGGACATGCTAAAATTTTCAAAATTTGCGTGTCGGACACGTGTACGATATGGATACGCTCCGACACGCGGTCAACATTTGGAGACATGCGGTCAACTCTTCGACACGTTTTTTCAGCACACGGTCAACTTTTTTCGACACGTGGTCAACGCTTGGACACATTTTTTTTAGTCTTAATTTTATTTTATTAAATAAAAAAAAATTTATTTATAAATTAATTTTTTTTCTGTTATGAAATTTGACATGAAAAATTAACAAGCTAGAAAAAATTATTTTTGTTTATATTTATGTTATGAAATTTGAATATTTGAGGGGTTATATGACTTATTATGAATTGTTATATTTATTAAATATAAATTATATTATATATATTAAAAATATTATTTAATATCAAAACGTGTCCCAACATGTCAAAATATGTCATTTTTTAAAATTAACGTGTCGGCGCGTCGTGTCGTGTCCCGTGTCAGTATCCGTGCATCATAAGTGGCAAGTGTAGAGTGGATTCCTAAATATGAATGTTTTTAAACATAAGTTTAAAAGATGGGGAATACTAGTATTATGTTGTAGGAGATTAGTTATCTTATGTAATAGATATAAAATATGTGGAGCTCACTTATTTATTTACTTTTTTAATTTATTTTTTAAAATGGATCTCACATATTTTATATCTATGACATGAGACACTAGTCTTTAACAATATGAGATTATTATTTCTCTTAAGAGATTTGAGAGAAGATTGACATAATTAATAAAAGATTATTTTTGCTTAAAAAAAAGATTATTTTATTGATGAAATTTTTAAAAAATTAAGGGAAATAATTTTTTCAAATAAATAATTAATTAAAGAAGGAAATGTATTAATTTAATTTGATGTAGAAGCTCATACGACATGCGTTACAAAATGAAAAAAGAAAAAAAAAACAGTAAGTACTTGAGAAATAAAGTACATACATAAATGCTTACCAAAAAAAAATAAAAATACATACATAAATTCCCATTTTTGAAAATGTGTAACCAGAATCATATTACCTATGCAATTTGAGTATTAAGAAAGCTTCTGAATACATTTCACCAAAAAAAAAAAAAAAAATTGAATGCAAAAATATTTCAATAATAATGTGAGATTTTGATTTAATGAAGTTCCTTGATTAAATGAAATTCTTGCTACATCATTCCTAGTATGATATAATGATATGTATTACTTCTCAAATAACAATTGTAAAAAATATCAATATTTATAAATCTAAAAAAATATTATTATATTTTTTATTTGAAATAGAATATTATTACATATCATTCCTTTTATATTTTTTTAATATGAGCTCGTATAACACGAGGGAAAAATAAAAATGATATCAGTCCTCGCATTGCACGAGTTGACACACGAAAAGGTAATCATATTTTATAATACTACTAAACAAATGCCCCATCCTGTTTTTTAGCATTCAACCTCTTCGCCATCTTGACCATGTAATCATGCTCCATTAATTGCAGCCAATACTATATGTTTACTTTGTCATTGAAAAATCAACGACCTCCCATTTTGAGTCATTTAATTTCCTGGGAACTTTTAGAAGTATACACATTATATAAATAGATGGAACACAAATTTAGCAAGAAATAGAATTTGGATAATTATTTTTGTTCACATATGTTTGAGTACATATAAATTGTGATTCTTTCACCCAATGAATATAAATTGTGATTCAATGGTTTTAAAAAAATATTTTGATTGACATGTGCGATTTTGAAATTTGGTTGTTTCAAGATTGTCATAGTGTTGATACTTATAGTTATATAATTTTAAGAAAGGGGAGATTAGGTGATACTTAAAACCTATTTTTTCTTATAATTTTTATAATTATTTTATTACTGTTAGATCAAAATTAAATTAACAGCTTATAAAATAATATTATAACAATAATAAGCAAGGATGACGAATTAAAAAGTTACATAACCAAATTAAAAATGAATATAGCTTGAAGAATTTTTTATTTTTTTTATCAAAAACTCTTGAAATTGACAATAATAAATTCCTTTTTATATATAGTTCATAGTTCCTAATAAAATATTAAACTTAGCAAAAATATAACTCCTTATGTACATCATAGGTCCACGCTGGCCCATCCGACAGTTGAGGACCATTGTAGTCTTTGCAGGAGTAGGGTGATTGGGCTTTCTAATGGATAAAGAATATGTGTGTATTGGGATGCATAAAAGCTTCGAAGGTGAAGGGACAAGCTTCTGGTTCGAGTTGGTTTTGGAAAATACATTGGAGCCAGGCCCAAGAATGGTGGTCCAGCCTGTAGCTGCAATTCGGCTTAAATTATCTAATCAGATAATATATATTTCTATTGTTCAATTTTTGGAAATTAAGAGTATGTACACTTTAAACTAAATTAATAATAAACATATCTTTTTTGGAAACCAAAAGTTTAAGTAGAGTTAGACACCGATATCCTGTCAGCGTCTAGAAAGATTCCTCAATCTCTTTGAAAATTTTCAAAAAAGATTATATATCATCAACTAATAAAATCATCACATCGACTAATGGAGTTTGAACTCACGCTCTTATGGGATATTTAGTTGCTTTATGTATAACTTCTCTAACACAATATGAGCTCATTTCAAAGAAATTTTGTCCTTATTCCTACTTTCCTATCCGTAAAAAAGAAAAAAATTGTTTAGATTAGATCCATGTAACAAAAACTACTTTAAATCTTTTGTGTTTTACTATTTGAATCTTTTTTTTTTTTTTTTGAACATTACTATTTGAATCTTTGTTGAATACTTGAATGTAAGATAAAGTTTATATATGTACATATGTAATATAATATGAAATTGTTTTCATGAATATAATATATAAAGTGAACGGAAAAAGTAGAGAGCAAAGTTAAGTTTTACTTTCAAACCTATCATATGAAACAAACTATAATTTATCCAGAAATTAATTATTTAGAGGGTTTAATATATTCAATCCAATAATTTAAATTATTAAATAAATATCACATTAATAATTTTATATTATACTTTCCTAATGTCTTCCTTTCATCATAAATATGACAAAAATAAATAAATAAATATACTAATAGTTAGCAGTATGCAACGCCAGCAGAGGCGGGTAGAACTGTAGAAGTTCAGTTAAAATTCTGAGAGCCACATTCATTTGAAGCCAAAGATGATAGGATAAGGGTTCAGAAAACTAGATTCCACATAAAATTCATGTTTTGAGAAAATTTTATAAAAAAGAGAAAAACATTGAACATATATGTCAACTTCTTATTTCCCATTATTATATTTTATCCATCCATTTTATTATCTGTTTATATTCTTTTGCACCCTCATTTATTCTCTTGTTTTTTTCACCCTATCACATAACTCTTCCAACTTCAAACACACACACAAGAGTTTCTCTCTGTGTCTCTCGAGCATTACATAGAAAAATGGAAGCACATGCAGGAGCCAACCAGCGTATTGCAAGAATCTCTGCTCATCTTCACCCTTCAAATTTCCAGGTTTCTTCCTTTGGTTTCCATCTAACTCATATTATAAATAACAAAGCTAGAAAGGTTAAATGTTGAATAGTTTTAATATGAAAACATCTTTGTTGGTGTGTTCCTTGCTTGATTATGTGTATTTGAAATGTTATTTATGTTCATTTTTGTGATGATAGGAAGGAGGTGATGTTCTTCTTAAGAGAGCTGATTGCAGAGCAAAAGGAGGGTCACCTGGATTCAAAGTAGCAATCTTGGGTGCTGCTGGGGGAATTGGTCAACCCCTTGCTTTGCTTATGAAGATGAATCCATTGGTTTCAGTTCTTCATCTTTATGATGTTGTCAACTCCCCTGGTGTCACTGCTGATGTTAGTCACATGGACACTGGTGCAGTGGTAATTTCTTTTTTCATTAGGGTGTGTTTGGTACAGGAGAAATTTTTTGGTGACCGGGAATCATGATTAATGGGAATTCAGTAGAAATTGAGTTTACTTGGAATCTTACGAAAGATGTGTTTGGTTCGCCAAAATATTACCGGGAATATTGGGTAAAAATTATTGATTCCATATTTGGTTTAGAACGAAATATGACTTGGAATATGAGGTTATTTTACAAAAATAACCCCAAACTATTTTTACTTTTGTAATTGATAGATTGGGTCTAGATTTTTATCTGTATTGGGGTATTTTTGTCTCAAAATTTATTGTTATGTTTTCCCTTTACTTGGTATTCTGAATTACCATATTATTTTTGGTAATCTGAATAGTGACTTTTCTTTATAAATCAAATTACCGGTAATCCTTGGATATCCAGGAATCGTAATTTATTCCTTCTACCAAACGTGGTAATTACATTTACCAAAGAAGGATTACCGGTAATCCTCTCCAAAAACTCGAACCAAACACCCCCTTAGTGCTAATATTATGTAGCATCTTCCTTTTCATAGAATTGTTGATTATCAAATTAAATGTATCACAAAAATGTGTAGTTCCCATGTTTTTCCTCTTTAGTAATTATGGGGATTTTTTTTATGTTGATCTTTATTTGAAGGACATAGGAATTGTTTCATGGGTTCGGTTTTTCTACAGAGCGGCATATATTTTTTTTGCATGCCGCATAGACAAAAAACGGGATCCACTAGTTTTTTTAAAAAAAAAAGAAATTACCAGAATCCGACATCGTATTCTGATAATTATGTGTCTGCGGCAGTTTTGCCTTGTTTTATAGCCTAAATTGATGCTGGAACTTATCTTGGTTTAGCGGATAATGCAATTTTTTTTGGGGGCTTCTAGGTTCGTGGCTTTTTGGGGCAGCCACAACTTGCGAGTGCACTCACTGGCATGGACTTGGTAGTTATACCTGCTGGTGTGCCAAGGAAACCTGGAATGACAAGGGATGATTTATTTAAAATAAATGCTGGAATTGTGAGGACCCTTTGTGAAGGAATTGCCAAGTGCTGCCCCAATGCTATTGTCAACTTGATTAGCAATCCAGTGAATTCCACTGTTGCAATTGCTGCTGAGGTTTTTAAGAAAGCTGGTACATATGATCCAAAGCGACTCCTGGGAGTTACAACCCTTGACGTTGTGAGGGCAAATACTTTTGTGGTAAGCATTGCTCTCCTGTTCTTATTTAAACAGCCTATGCCCCATAATTATATTTCCTTCTTGTTGTGTTGCAGAACTAAAATATCGAAAAGGAGACAGAAAGTTTAAAAGAGAAGGTTATATTTACAAATTTTTTGTTTACAAACTACATTAAGTATGACCGGTCATACTTCAATCAAGAGTGTATGACCGGTCATACTTAATGTAATTTGTAAAAAAAGTTTGTAAACGGATCCTTCCTCAAGTTTAAAATATAATCAAGGTCTTGAGTCTATAACTAATGAGGATTCACATGAACTCGTAAATGTTAACTGTTAGATCCAATTAGTTTAAGTTGTTTTGAGAAATATTTATAATTATAACAATGGGTTGGACATAACAGATATTTCCATATTGTGAGATTTATCAACAATGCTGCTTTAGTGGAATTGCATGAGTACAGGTTGGTGTTGGTCCTGTCATGTTTTTTTTCTTGCAGGCAGAGGTACTGGGAGTTGATCCAAGAGAGGTTGATGTTCCGGTGGTGGGAGGTCATTCAGGAGTCACAATATTGCCTCTTTTGTCACAGGTCTTGTAGAGAATACTTCCTTACTTTAAAAATTATTACAGTGTAAACAGGTCACTTAACCTTCTTCAAACTTGGTTTTTAAAGGTCAAGCCTCCTAGCAGCTTCACCGCTGAAGAAACTGAATACCTGACAAATCGCATCCAAAATGGTGGAACAGAAGTTGTTGAGGTAATGTTATGCAAATCTATTACCTAACTAAATATGTTACTGGAGTAGAAGAGGGATAGGAGGCAAAGAATGAAACTTGATAGTTAATTAAGATTCATTGCATATTACTATAATGGTAATTTACACTCCTCTTCCTTTCAATGACAGTGTTAATGTCCCTATGGTCATTGCTATGATGACAGTGTTAGTGTCAAAACTTCTATGCTTCCTCTTTTTCAGTTTCGGATGTCTGCTTAATGCCAGATATCAACTGTAAAATATTATTAGAGAAAAATGTAATCTGACACTGCAACTAAAGTTTTTTAAGGTGCTATGATAATATAAGATCTATGAAACTGTACCAATTTCCTTTACCATCACAAAAGTGATATACACTTGACATTATCAATTTTGCACGAGTGAAGAAGCTCAAACAAGAGAAGATGGCCAAACAATGTATTCAAATGATGCTTATTACTGGTCGGAATAGATTATCTCTGCTACTCCAACTTGTTTTCATATCCATGACCGTAGATATTCACGAAATGTCAAATACACTATCTTATTCCCCCGTTTATATCTGGTTGTGATTGATTCATCATAAATTAATTATAATTATTCATGATACAGGCAAAAGCTGGGGCTGGTTCTGCAACACTATCAATGGTTAACAGCTTATCTTCATATTTCTACAGTTGCAGCCATATCAATTGAGTCCTAGTAGACAGACTAACTAACTTGAAATCCCACACTTGATTGTGCAGGCATATGCAGCTGCCAAGTTTGCTAACTCATGCCTCCATGGCTTGAAAGGAGAAGCTGGGGTGGTGGAGTGTGCTTTTGTTGATTCTCAGGTGCCATTTTAAGTCCTTCTTTTCCATTGTCTTCATCCTCTCTTTCAGAACCCATTTAACAGTAGCTCATGTCTTCAATAGGTTACAGAACTTCCCTTCTTTGCAACCAAGGTACGTCTTGGTCGTGGTGGAGCAGAAGAGATATATCAACTGGGTCCCCTGAATGAGTATGAAAGGTATGATAGTAGTTTATCAAACTATTACCTAATTTCTTTGTTGGAAGCAATAAGTAGAACATAAAGTGAAACTTCTGCTGTTTAATACTTTACAGGATTGGGTTGGAAAAAGCAAAGAGAGAGTTGGAAGGAAGCATCCAGAAGGGGATAGACTTCATCAGAAAATAAGGGAGATCAGGAAAAAGTAGTTTTTGTCACTCTCCTATGAGGAACTTATGTAATTCTTCCCTTTGTTCATAGTAGATTTTTCTTGAGAATAATACTCTAAATTTTTGGTGTCATCCATCGCTTAAATGCTGATGATAATGGATTTGACATCAGTGGAACCGCATGATGATCTGAAAGACACTACATTATCGGCCTTTTGTACTATTTCAAAATCTAATTTTCTTTAATCTTTCACTTCTCCATAACACATTTGACATTGCTTATTTGACAGTTTAAAGCAAATAGTAATGCATCTTCTTCTCTTTTGTCCCTTTAGATTCTGCTGTATGCAGAAAATGACAAAGTTGATAGAATTTTCGTGGTCATATATTCTCTCACTAACACCTATAATCCACTCTTCTCTCACCCCTTATGGATAAAACAAAATAAAATAATATACAATACAGAAGGACAAAAATATTCCAGAGGATTATCCAAGATGTTATGAGAGAACCTTAATTGGTTTGCATTATATAAGAGCTAGATTAATTTTTAAAAAACAAGATGATTCAAACAATTTGACCTAGATCATGGTGAATTTAGATTGAATATATGGTCACTAACCTCCAAGTCCTACATTCTTCACAGTGTAGTTGCCTTTTATGTATTTGCAGCTTATAGTAAAGCTATACTTAAAGATTAAGCCTAGCCTTCATTGATCGGATTTCATATATCATAATTTTAACCTATTAAATAATTTAAAATAAATACATCTTTGTTAACTAATTTTAAATACAAAACTCATTTATAAAAAAAAAAAAAAAAAAAAAAAAAAAAAAAAAAAACTAGTGAGATTTTGGATCATGATTTTTAATTTGTTCAACTAAATAACTTGATTGAACTAGACAACATGATAAAAAATAATTAAACCAAAGACACAATTGATTTACGGATTGACCATTTGAAACAGTTAGTTTAGTCCGGGTTTTGCAGCAATTAATGCTTATGAGAGATCAATTGAAGTTATGATAAAATGGCATTGATAACATTATTTTTTGCAAGATATCATGTTGAAGTATTTTTCTGTAGCGTCCATGCAATGTGACGTGTATGGGAAACATGTAAATTATACATTCATTGTAAAAGGTTCAATTATTCCATCAATGTCAACCAAACTAACATAAAGTATATATTTTTGATACAAAAGTTGCAGGAGGTTTTAACTTATAACCTTCAGCAAACTATTCAAACTCTTCACAGTTTTTACCAACCATATTTTGTTGAAACAAAAAGAAACTTATAAGAGAACATAACAAGATGCTAAACAAAGGCCTGTTTGTCAAAGACACCCAAAAAACCAATGCCCCTTTTGTAAGATTTAGGTAAGAGAGGGACAGAAAACATAACGGATTGAACTTTTTCAACCTCCTGCCAAAAAATGCCTAACCAGAACAGGTGGGTAGTAATAACATGGTCAACAAGTTAACCATGCAAAAAGGAAAACATGGCCAGAAAAACCCTCCCTCAAAATGAACCATAGAGCATGCTTGGAGAAGATGAGATGGCAGAGACATTACAAGCCTTGTAAGCAGAAATATTACTGAACAACATAAACTGCTATTTTGTTGACTCTAACTCTTATTCTTCTTATGCTTTTGGTGTCTGTTTAATATGAACTAAAGGAACGTCCTCACATGAAAGATGTAAAAGCTGAGCGTAGGTTTCTCACAAGATCCTTCACTGTCATGCAGAATTCCATTTCCATCTGCAAATTGCAGAAATAGTTTCCTTATTGAAAGAGAATTATAGTTTAACGAAAAAAATGATGAAAAGTGATGCATAGATAGCATTTGAGCAAGTTTTTTCATCAATGTAGTCAAAATATACCATGAATATATAGAAAATGATTGGTAGTATACCAATTCTACAGTGTCATAACAAAAAGTTTCATTAGCCACTTCAGATGTTAATGCTCTATATATGGAACTTAATTCAATAATTTTGATCTTTTTTTTTGTCGGTTTTTGAACTCCCTGATTTCATCCAATATAACATAGGTACAGGAATTACCTGAGCAATAATTGTTATATCAAGCGCATAGCTACCAAATGTCATGGTACTGCTATTGATGACTTTTAGATGGAGTTTCTCAATTTCATTGATTGTTTTTTCTACAACTCCTTTGCTCTTCTCACAGTGTACTCTTATGAGGACATTTCTCTCACAAAATCTTGCTTCAATTTCAGGAACTTCCTCTTCAAAGGGATCACCAGATTCTGAAGAAGGGTCTTCAACATCATTGGATAGTTGAGATTTTTTCACAATTACCACAGATTCCACATTTTTCTTCATGTTCTGTTCCTCCTCAAGAGCCCTCACTTTCTCTTGCAAGTGCTTCAAGTGCTTGATAGCATCTCCAAGAACAGAAGCTTTGTCCGTCTGTTAGTAGCATATTGAAAAATAAGACCAATGCATACATGTTAGAAGCATACATGATGGACAAAATAACACTATAACTACCATAAACACACAATTTTACATATTCATGTGCTTCCTGCTACCTAGGCGTTCAAAAAATTTGATACTTATGATTATGACGACCAAATTAAATTACCGAAAAAAGATCTTATAGTTTCTAATATTATACAGCTAGTTTAAAAGTCAACAGACAATTCAACCCTTAAAATTTTCTTCCACTTAATAGTTTAGTCATTGTATTTACATGTATAAGTTAGTTTTAAATTTACATATCAAGTTAGTCGTTTTTACCTTTTAGGGATTAAAGTGAGATATAAGAAAAACTAAACGCATTTTTACAATTTCAAGGATTAACTAATAAGGGTAAATGTCAGTGCATAAGGCTCTCAGACTTATAAGGACAGGGATGATGGTCAATTGGATGCAACCTTACCTTGCATTTTAACAAAAAAACTATTTCCCATATTCGAAACCATGCCTTTCCTGCTATAAGGAACGACCTTACCATTGTAAATTGTATCAAGGACTAAGTATGTAACAACCCGGGCGCTGATGAGGGCGGGGAGTGATCGCCGGTGCGAAAGGGCATGGACAAGGAGCGGCTCCTGGTAGGCTTCCAGCAACGGGAGTACATGAATGAATCGAATCAACACCCGAAAGAGAGGGATTCCAGAGACTGTGCTGGTATGGGACGGTGCAGATGAGAATAGCTTATAAGAATTAATTGGTACTACCTATACTAACAAGATGCATCTACTTTTTGGTAGCCCGGAACGGAAGAACTCCATAGTTAAGCATGCTTGACTTGAGGCAATTCTGGGATGGGTGACCTCCTGGGAAGTTTTCCCGGGAAGTGTGCGAGTGAAGACAAAGCACGTTGAAAAGTCTCGTGTTAGTGTGTAAAGACAGTCGTTGATCCTTACAAGTTGTCAGGCGTTACAAAGTAATACACATAGCTAAATATAAAGACTAAATTACAAGTAGATGAGAGTAACTTGCTTATTTACTCAGTTAAATTACTAACCTGAACTGTTGTTGGCTTATTTGTATGCGTCTAAATAGTAAGTATATAATGACCCTCACATTTATTTATGGATTTAATATTGAAGAATAATTAGAAAAAAAAGAAATAAAGTCACCTTTGGCGAAAAAGGAGTCTTTTCCTGCTTGAGTGCTCCACCATGGTTAGTGAACTATGGTTGGATTGTATGACTGTTGTTTAGATGCTTTGTATAGATGCATTCATATAGAGTTATTTGATAACATGATATGACTTGTTCTGATAGGATTTCTGTATTGATGATATGGTACACTGATGTCTTCTTGGGGTTTCCCTGAGATTGACGATGTACACCTCTGACATGTTCTGGTTCCGCTTGGGGTCCTCCCTTGAGAATGACAGCGCACGACTCTGATATTATATGGATATATGCTTTGTTCTGTTATGATATCTGTTATATGTGCATTGTATACTCTGTATCTGACTTTCATGCAGGAGTGAGCCAGGGGTATGGAGAATTCTCTATAAACTTGGAGCTTATTGAGATTGTTATCTCACCTCTCTTTGGGGACATCATTTCAGGTGCCCAGATTCCCGGTGAGTCCTCACTAGGCAGGGACGCGACCCGTGGTTGAGGCGTTGGGACGGATCAGTTTTTGAGTAACTGTAGGCTACTAACCTTTTGGAGTGCATTTATGTTATTTAGTATTTCTGCATTTGATGGATCATGATGTTGGATCCCTTACTTTGTATATGGCCTGCATATGTCTTGTACATGTCCTTCAGTTTGATGCATGTACATTTGTGTATTCAGGCATGTGGATATGACTATGTAGTATTCAGTTATGTTTTACGTATTGGATTGCATGCTGTTAGATTAGTGGCACGGAGCCAAACTATGCATGTCCCCGTGGATGGGTTTATGATTATATTTGGATGTCTGGTACTTCTGAATGTATATGCTGTATAATCTGTCTATCAGGAACTCTTGTGAGTGGGATTGGAAAATCCCCAGTTGTCCGAATTATAGAGGTTACTCTGTCCGATTTTCGTCTCGAGCCGGTTCAATTAACATGCATATGATACAAACAGAAACAACGGAAGAGTTAACTTACGAAAATAATATAATGACCCTCACATTTATTTATGGATTTAATATTGAAGAATAATTAGAAAAAAAAGAAATAAAGTCACCTTTGGTGAAAAAAGAGTCTTTTCCTGCTTGAGCGCTCCACCATGGTTAGTTAACTATGGTTGGATTGTATGACTGTTGTTTAGATGCTTTGTATAGATGCATTCATATAGAGTTATTTGATAACATGATATGACTTGTTCTGATAGGATTTCTGTATTGATGGTATGGTACACTGATGTCTTTTTGGGGTTTCCCTGAGATTGACGATGTACACCTCTGACATGTTCTGGTTCCGCTTGGGGTCCTCCCTTGGGAACACGTGCGTTAATTTCCGTTTAGGGTCCTCCCTTGGGAATGACAGCGCACGACTCTGATATTATATGGATATATGTTTTGTTCTGTTATGATATCTGTTATATGTGCATTGTATACTCTGTATCTGACTTTCATGCAGGAGTGAGCCAGGGGTATGGAGAATTCTCTATAAACTTGGAGCTTATTGAGATTGTTATCTCACCTCTCTTTGGGGACATCATTTCAGGTGCCCAGATTCCCGGTGAGTCCTCACTAGGCAGGGACGCGACCCGTGGTTGAGGCGTTGGGACGGATCAGTTTTTGAGTAACTGTAGGCTACTAACCTTTTGGAGTGCATTTATGTTATTTAGTATTTCTGCATTTGATGGATCATGATGTTGGATCCCTTACTTTGTATATGGCCTGCATATGTCTTGTACATGTCCTTCAGTTTGATGCATGTACATTTGTGTATTCAGGCATGTGGATATGACTATGTAGTATTCAGTTATGTTTTACGTATTGGATTGCATGTTGTTAGATTAGTGGCACAGAGCCAAACTATGCATGTGCCCATGGATGGGTTTATGATTATATTTGGATGTCTGGTACTTCTGAATGTATATGCTGTATAATCTGTCTATCAGGAACTCTTGTGAGTGGGATTGGAAAATCCCCAGTTGTCCGAATTATAGAGGTTACTCTGTCCGATTTTCGTCTCGAGCCGGTTCAATTAACATGCATATGATACAAACAGAAACAACGGAAGACTTAACTTACGAAAATAATATAATGACCCTCACATTTATTTATGGATTTAATATTGAAGAATAATTAGAAAAAAAAAGAAATAAAGTCACCTTTGGTGAAAAAAGAGTCTTTTCATGCTTAAGTGCTCCACCATGGTTAGTGAACTATGGTTGGATTGTATGACTGTTGTTTAGATGCTTTGTTTAGATGCATTCATATAGAGTTATTTGATAACATGATATGACTTGTTCTGATAGGATTTCTGTATTGATGGTATGGTACACTGATGTCTTTTTGGGGTTTCCCTGAGATTGACGATGTACACCTCTGACATGTTCTGGTTCCGCTTGGGGTCCTCCCTTGGGAACACGTGCGTTAATTTCCGTTTGGGGTCCTCCCTTGGGAATGACAGCGCACGACTCTGATATTATATGGATATATGCTTTGTTCTGTTATGATATCTGTTATATGTGCATTGTATACTCTGTATCTGACTTTCATGCAGGAGTGAGCCAGGGGTATGGAGAATTCTCTATAAACCTGGAGCTTATTGAGATTGTTATCTCACCTCTCTTTGGGGACATCATTTCAGGTGCCCAGATTCCCGGTGAGTCCTCACTAGGCAGGGACGCGACCCGTGGTTGAGGCGTTGGGACGGATCAGTTTTTGAGTAGCTGTAGGCTACTAACCTTTTGGAGTGCATTTATGTTATTTAGTATTTCTGCATTTGATGGATCATGATGTTGGATCCCTTACTTTGTATATGGCCTGTATATGTCTTGTACATGTCCTTCAGTTTGATGCATGTACATTTGTGTATTCAGGCATGTGGATATGACTATATAGTATTCATATATGTTTTACGTATTGGATTGCATGCTGTTAGATTAGTGGCACGGAGCCAAACTATGCATGTGCCCATGGATGGGTTTATGATTATATTTGGATGTCTGGTACTTTTGAATGTATATGCTGTATAATCTGTCTATCTGGAACTCTTGTGAGTGGGATTGGAGAATCCCCAGTTGTCCGAATTATAGAGGTTACTTTGTCCGATTTTCGTCTTCGCCGAGTAAGAATTAAAATATAAAAAGAAAAAGTTAGCTCGTATTTTTGTAAGTTAAGTCTTCTGCTGTTTCTGTTTGTATCATATGCATATTAATTGAACCGGCTCGAGACGGGAATGTTACAAAGTACATAATATTTCAATATTTGTTCAATATATACAGTTATGAATGACATAAGTAGTAAACTCCAAATCACAAAAACCCAAAGTTCACATAATCAAAAATTTATATACCTTTTGTAGACCAGGAACAAGTGCTGATAGAGCAATGAACCTCTGGCTGAGCTTCTCTCGCCGCTTCCTTTCAGCTATTATGTGGTCTTGAGGTTGTGAAAGTTTAGGACGTGTCCCTATCTTTCTGACCTCCTGGCAGGCCTTGAAGACATAGTTTTGATTCCCCAAGGTTCCTTGAGAGGTCATGTCTGGAGGAGTTGTGCTATTGATTTTAGGCCAAAGGGTCTCATCCTTAGGCGTCACCAGTCCCAACTGATTCATGTGATTTGAATCCACAAAGGAAAGAAGATTTGGACAAGAAACAAATTGTGCCCCTGATGTCTGAGCAATTTTGGGGCTGAAGTTTGGGTAAGTGAATGAATGATGTTGTAAGGTCTCTCCAAAAGCAGCAGCTATTGGCAGTAAGCTAGGCTCATCAATAGAGCTTAAGTTCCACTGATGAAGAAAGGTAGGATCCTCCATTAGTTCCTGCATGTTCAGAAAACTTTACAAAATTTTCATAGAAATTTTCATCAACCAAGCTCTAGCTAGAAAGATTTAAGTATATCCATATTTCACTTCTTTTTTAGATATATGCCTGCCAGATTTTAACTAACCATGTCTTCCAAATTAAATGTAGTCATTGTCAATGCAATAAATGACCCACTAGGCCACTATCAACTCACAGGGCATAGATTAACTTACCTTAGTTCCAAGAATAATTATTTACTAGAGCTATGTATCTTACCATATCAGGTAACCCTCTGGTGGATGAAATGTCCATAAGAGAATTAGTTCTGCAATATATATATTAAAAAAAAAGCTCAAGGTAATCTATGTTAAATGACCATTAAGCACAATACATGGAAGAAGAGAAAAAATCCTTATCCCCAAACCTCAACCTCCCAACACCTGCATTTAGATAAATTATATTCTTAGGCACAATAATTCATAGACTGTAAAGGTCTTAATGAATAAAGTGAAGGTTGATAAGAAGCTTACTCATCAACAGATATTGCAGCAGCTTATATATTTCGTTTTTTGATATAACTTTTTATCCTACTCAACCTCTCTCTGTATACCAACTTAGAACATTTGCACCGTCATATACTCACGGGTTTTTTTATGTGAATCAGCGTAGACAACTATACATGCCCACTTTTTTCAATCAAGGAAAATAGATATAACTCATTTTTATATTTAGATGCTCTCTTCAAGATGACAAATCAACAGTTCCAACTTGTGTTGTTTTGTGGACTTTGGGGTTGTTCTTGACCAACTAGTCATTGAAATCTTGGTTAAGAGCATACAAATCAAAGGACCATTCTTGAGCATGTGGTCCCTCACCATGTCCAAAGCCTCAAGCTACGCATTTATTTGCTGTATTTCCTAAAGTTAATCTCTCCACTCCTTCCTCCTCATCTCTCATTTTCTTGGTCAAGATCATTTGTAATAATCATAACCAAGAAGGCAGTAATTAGAGCTTATTAGCCAACCTATTAGCCAACCTATTAGCTATTAATAAAATAATGAAAACCTATGTTATGTGAGTAGATATTCGTCATGAATTAGCCCTTAATTGGTTGCAATTTTCAAATATGAATCATAAGCTTATTCATAAAGAAGAGTTTCCCATTTTTGGGTGACATGCAACACAGTTTCCATTGACTTGAAAAATGTTTAGCCAATTCCCAAGTGGCATGTGTGTGGCTGAAAAACTTATACCCGAGTGAGAGTGTGGCCCCTTGAACAGGCATGTTAAAGATTACCTACATTAACGTAATGATATTCAATGTTGAAAATGTTATATTTTTTGTCGTTTGCTTGGAAGTAAGAAGAGACGTTAGTAGGTATGTGTTTGATTCTCCCAATGTATTGTTTTTGAAAAGAGTTTAAAGCTTTAATTCAGAGAATTGTCTCGAATCGGACTAGTCACGAAATGATGAACTTATTGAAATATTTTCAAAAAAAAAAAAAAAAAGACGTTAACAAATTATTAGACAAATAATGTAATGATCATTGGCTATAAAATAATACTAATAGATAGAGTTTTCAGATAATTCTTCCATTCAGAATTAAACTTATCGTAAAAACTCAGAACCAAAATGGCTTGCTGTCATTCCTATAAGATTAGTTGATTCCAGTTTTGAACTAGCTGGTTTATTGGTATTTGCTCTTGTGCTGGAACAACTCACCTAACAGTACCTTTCTAGAAAGCTTGCAATACGTGAACTTAATTAGTCATTTCCAATCTCCAAACAGATATGTAAAAATTTTATACTATATTTAGTATACAACATACTAAATCTCTATACGTATATTGAAAATATTTGCAATACTCCGATAGTGTTAAGTATTCAGTACATCGCTAATTAAAAATGAAAAAAAAAATTACCCTGAGTTACACTTTTTACTATTTTAACGGGGGAAACTGAAAATATAATCGGAACAGTGGCCAAAGTGCCACGTTGACAAAAAAAATATATCAAAATGTCACGCTAACAGTGAATTTTGTCAAAATGTCACGTGACACTTTTCGCTACACTGTGTAGCAAAATATGTGTGCACATAATTCGCTACACGGTGTAGCGAAATATGCCAAGTCAGAACCAAAAATGCCACGTGTCAGGCAGGGAGAATTTCACTACACAGTGTAGCGAAATTCTCCCTGCCTGACACGTGGCATTTTTGGTTCTGTGCATTCTGACGCGGCATATTTCGCAACACCGTGTAGCGAATTATTTGCACACATATTTCGCTACACAGTGTAGCGAAATATGACACGTGGCATTTTAACAAAATTTACTGTTAGCGTCCCATACATATAATAAAAACAAAAAATAAAAATTGCTAGTGCGGAAATCAATGTGAGAGTGGATAAATTTTTTTATATCATGTTACGTAATATTAGTTTTTCCCTTTGTGTGACATTTTGATGTTTTTTTTCTTGGCCGCTGTTCCAATATAATCACGTATATAATCTCTTTGGGACAACAACCAAAATAATATATTTTTGCAAATAAATTATCCAAATGCCACGTTTTAATTTTTTTTTACTGAAATGTCATATTTTAGTACCTGCTATCATTACTAGCTGATCAAATTTGTCTGTGTTGGGTGGGGCAGAGATTCGCTGCAGGTCAGGATAGAGAAATCGTTGATCCTGAACCCGTTAGGACCCGCATAAGGGTTGGTTCAGGGCCATTTTTCTGACAGCTGGTTTTTGCTACTGTCACAGTGCAACACATGGCAAACTCGACCCGCCAAGACTGATAGTAGGGTTGGCAAAACGGGCCAACCCGGCTCGACCCGGCCCAACCCGCATTCAACCCATAAAAATTGGGTCGGGTTAGGGTTGGCTCGAAAAAATAAACGAGGCAGAAAACCCAGCCCAACCCGAGTCGGGTTAGGGTTGGCTCGCGGGTTGACTCGATAATTAGCTCGCGGGTTGGCTCGGAAAAAAGCTCGCGGGTTGACTCTAGGAGAAGGAAGAAGATTCTGAAGAAGAGAAAAAATTCTAAGTGTTGAGCGCTAAAACGTTCATCCAGAACATTTTAGCGCCCTGTTACAGCAAGAAGCCAAAAGATGCTGGTCTGGAGCGCTAAAACGTCCATCCAGAACGTTTTAGCGCACTGCTGCACGTCAAAGCCAGAAATATGCAGGTCTTCAGCGTTAAAACGTTAAAGCTCAAAAGTTTTAGCGCCCTAATGCTGGAAAAGGATTCTGGTCTTCAGCGTTAAAACGCTCAAACCAAACGTTTTATTTTTTTTAATTTAAAAAAATTACCCAACCCGCGAGCTGGCCCGTTTAACCCGAGGGCTGGCTTGTTTGGGTCTGGGTTGTATCGGGTCGGGTTGTATCGGGTTGGCTCATTTAGTCCAACCCAACCCGACTCATTTAAGACGGGTTGCGACGGGTTGGCTCGTTTTTGCCAACCCTAACTGATAGCGGTTCTGAGGAGGTGTTTAGTAGAATGTTTTTTTTTAAGGATTACGGAGAAATTAAAGTTGGTAATCTTATTTATCAACAATTGATATCAAATTTTTTAAATTTTTCCGAGAATCTAATTTTCTCCGATTTTATTTTATGTGTAAGTTTTATTGAAATAACCATATCTGTATGGTATTCTAAGATTTTCATGGCAAAAAAAAATTTAATACAATTAAATATAATTTCAAAAAAATTAATCTAACATTTTCAGAATATTTTGACCTATCAAATAATTTTTTGATTAAATTTCCAAAAACTCATTTTCCCAAACAACTTTAAGCTTAAGACTATGAAGCACGCTTTTTTGGGACAGTGACCAAAATGCCACGTTTTGGCAAAAAAATTACCAGAATGCCATGCGAATAGTAAAATTTCCCAAACTGCCACGTGGCATAATTGCTACACAGTGTAGCGAATTATGCATGCAAGTAATTCGCTACACAGTGTAGCGAAATATGCCACGTCAGAATGCACAGAACCAAAAAGTGCCATGTGTCATAATGTTGAAATTCGCTACATAGGGTAGCGAATTTCAATAATTTTGACACATGTCACTTTTTGGTTCTGACGTGGCGTATTTCGCTACACTGTGTAGCGAATTATTTGCATGCATAATGCTATACTGTGTAGCGAATTATGCCGCGTGGCAGTTTGGAAAATTTTACTGTTCGCGTGACATTCTGATAATTTTTTTGCCAAAACGTGACAAAATGGTCATGACCCCGCTTTTTTTCTTAGAAAATACTGTGGAACACGTGTTGGATACGATAAGTGATCAATATTCCAGACTTGCAATTAACACTCATGTGGTTAATGTTTTATGACATGCAATCAATGTAGATTCAATTTTTATTCTAGTTGTAATGAAATATAAAAAATTAATTTATAAATCAAATAATTTTTATTATAAAATTTGACATAAAAAATTAATAAGTCATAAAAAATTATTTTACTTTATATTTATATTATGAAATTTAAATATTTAATTAGTTATAGGATTTTTATGGATTGCTATATATATTAAATGTAAATTATATTATATTATTAAAATATTATTTAATATCAAACTGTATTTTAATATATCATAGTCTAACATTTAAAAAAATTAACGTGTCAAAATATCATATTATATTTCGTAGGGATGTTCGTGGTTTGGATTGGATCGATTTTGGAAGTAAAAATCATCTGATCCAATCTTTTCGATTTAATCATGTAATCATCTATTTGGTTTGATTTTTTTTTTAAATCTGATCCGATCCAATCCAATTTTATTCGATTTGGATTGGATCGGTTTTCAATTTTTTGAAAAGCCTAAGATTTGTATGTTTATTATTTGGCAAATAACATATGTTTTATATGTATCAGCTTTGTAGAGTTTGTATGATGATTATTGTGCAATCTAGAAGCATTGTACAACAAAAAGTTAAATTATCATCTTTCACTTTCAACAAAAAATTTATAATATAGTCGCATAAGATACGAAGTAACTCAAATTTTCATCCTATAAAGGAGTTATCGTACAACAATAACCTATGTAATAAAAATATATTATGTATCTTACAAAAATAACATAACATAGATCAAGCACAACTCGCTTTCTCAAACATGATGGGTTAATAAGTTTTGGATTTAGAACTTTGCTATATAATTTTTATGCTATTATTGGGAAAGGCCCAAGTAGGTAGATGGTAAGGTTGAAGAATAATTGGATCGATTTGGATTGGATCGATTTTTATTTTTAATTTTTCAATTCGGTCACCATAGTTTGAATCAGTTGATGAACACCCTAATATTTTGTGTCCTTATGCATAGGCTTAGAACTCGTGGGTTACCATAATTCAAAATTTGAAGTGGGCCTGATCCGAGTAGTCCAGCCCAAACAAGAAGATCAAGAGTCCACAACCTGCATACTTTATTGCAAGTACAAAATGACTGTACATGATGTGATATATGGATTTAATGTATGTTATTTTAAATGATATAAGTTATGTTATTTTTTTTTTGATAATATAAGTTATGTCATTTTAAAAGAGAAATAAATATAAAAAATAAAAATTACGAGAGAGAAAGTAAATGATTTTTTTAATTTAAATTTTAAATAAAATAATAATATTTTATATCTATCTCTCTCTCAAAATCATGTTTAAAACGGTAAATACTTTTCCGATGAATATCACATGAGTGTGGTTCCAAAACTCACTCTCATTCATTCACAAATGGCATCAAAATTGGAGGTTCGGGAGCTTGGGAAAACCGGACTCAAGCTCAGTTGTGTCGGGTTCGGAGCCTCCCCTCTCGGCCACGTCTTCGGCTCTGTTCCCGAGGAAGAAGCCATTGCTTCTGTTCGCCATGCCTTTCAATCCGGCATCAATTTCTTCGACACTTCACCGTAAGCATTGCACAATCCTCTCTTTTTTTCTTTCTTTTTTTTCTATTTTGTGTGCTTATGCTTTAATTGAAAATTGGATAAACATTTATTTTATATGTGTGTGAAATTGAAGGTATTATGGAGGGACAGTGTCAGAGAGAGAGTTGGGGAAAGCGTTAAAGGCTCTTTGTGTTCCAAGAAATGAATATATTGTAGCAACCAAGTGTGGACGCTATAAGGAGGGTTTTGATTTCAGTGCAGAAAGAGTAACTAGAAGCATAGAAGAGAGCTTGGAAAGGTTGCAGCTTGATTATGTTGATATATTGCAATGCCATGATATTGAATTTGGGTCATTAGACCAGATTGTGAATGAAACCATTCCAGCACTTTTGAAACTTAAGAAAGCTGGGAAAACTCGTTTCATTGGCATTACTGGACTCCCTTTGGGAATATTTACTTACGTGCTTGATAGGGTTCCACCTGGTACATTGGATGTAGTGTTATCATATTGTCATTACTGTATTAATGATTCAACCTTGGAGGATATTGTGCCTTACTTAAAGGCCAAAGGTGTTGGTATTATCAATGCTTCTCCACTAGCAATGGGCCTCCTCACTGAGACTGGTCCTCCTGAGTGGCATCCAGCTTCACCAGAACTCAAGGTCCTGATTATGTTATTTGCTTTTGTTTTCATTGAGAAATAATTCAGTTCATGTTTGGAGGGTAAAATATCTAATAAGAACCTGATATCACAAGGAAAAATGCTTACTGCGTGTTTAAGATCTGAGAGTAGTTATAATGTATAAATGAAAAGAAAGAGAATTAGTTCTGCCTGAAGAAGAGAGAGAAAGCAATGAAAATTATCTTTGCTAGTTTGGACTTTGGTCTGGTGCATATTTCATCAAAACTAAGTTGTTTCTTTTGTGTTATGTTCTGGAACTTTTGCAGTCTGCATGTCAAGCTGCTGCTACCTGTTGTAAAGAAAAGGGAAAAAACATTTCGAAGTTAGCAATGCAGTACAGCTTATTAAATAAGGAAATCACATCAGTGCTTGTTGGCATCAGATCTGTCGAACAGGTTCTGTTTCATAATCTTCCGGAATTGCCATATGTAGTCTTATATATGTATGTTCTGAAAATCCATGTGATTTTGATTTTGTGCATAATGCGTGAAACCTTGCTCTAAAGCTTTTGTATGGCTTGGTCAATAAATTAGTTACCTTTCTTTTTGTTTTTTTTTCCTTGAAGCATATATGAGCATTTTCATTTGTAAAATATGTACATCTTTTTTCGTCTTCCCTTTTCATAATTACCGACTAAACATAGAGCCACTCATGAGCATAAAAAAAACCATATGCTAATGCCTAATCCAATGTTTGTTGATCTGATACCGAAAGTTCATGGACAAAACTGTATGATTAAAATATGTAGTAAGGAGATTTCCAGTTCTAATAGATGGTAATACTGCGAACTGTCGCTGTATGTTTTTCTACTTTTGCAGCACTCTTTTTCATTTGATTATATGTCTGTGTTATCATTTAAGACCATATTATCTTTGTGCATCCTAATTGACACATTAATTAGTGATTGACTACCACAGTTAATTAATGATTTAACTATAATTAATAATGTGTCAACATATAATGGGCCTAGTGCGAGGGTGAGGCTTAAAGTAGTGGTAAGCTTGCTTCTTCGTGGAAAATCTGGAAAATAATATCTTTTGTAAAAATACAAGGGTGCATATAATCGACTATCTCCCCTACTCTTGCAAAATCAAGGAGTCTTGTGCATGGGGGGCCAAACTTGGGTGCACCAAGTTTATGCAAGAATTTCTCAAGTACAATTTGTATAATGTGAACTAGTCACCTAAAAAGAATGATCTGTTCTAACTTTGGGATAATCTAACAAATTAGGTGGAGGCAAATGTTGCTGCTGCAAGAGAACTTGCAGCTTCTGGGATCGATGAAGAGGCTCTGTCAGAAGTTGGAGCCATTTTAAAGCCGGTTAAGAATCAGACATGGCCTAGTGGAATCCAGCAGAGCTGATGCTTTTCTCGACTGCCTGGTATTGCCTATGAAGACACCCCGCCGTTGGCCCATTCCTGCTGTTGAGAATGTTCTTTACTCCTATTCAATAAAAGAAATTGCTTTTACAGATGCTAAGATTCACTATTTAAGTTGTTTTTGCTGTATCTTCTAGAGTGTATCCAATACATTTCTTACCACATGTGATGTTTCAATGATCATCATCTCCAGCTACCAGAGAGTAAGGGCCCATGGGCACCAAGTATATATACAAGCCTTCTCATAGCTTTGATATGTATTTGGACAAAACTAGAGTAGTTGGTTGAATTGGTTTGGAAAAGCTCAATGTAAGAAAAACTTGCAATAATATTTTCTCTTAATCTGTAAGCTTTTTATTCTTTTTTGCGTGTGAATATTACATAGAATTAGTAACACGTTATGTAGAAAGGAAAAGCAACTACATATCGTACTCAAATAAGCTGAAGATAACTTTCCACTTTGATCCATGGACAATTGATAATGTTACTAGTGTCATTGGATCAAATCTTGCGCAAATCCCACAACATAAAAGTTGCCTTCAATTAAATCAATGTTTGCATCTTCCACAAAGTTGATTTCATTCGAATAATTCCCATCAGATTATCATCCCCGTTCCCAAGCTTCCACTAATGCTCAGTACATTCAGAGAAATATTTCTCTTTTGGTGACCGTGGACCTTATTCATCGACTTTGTAATTCACTGCATCAAAACCGGCATCCATAACTAGTCATGAACAATGATGAACTATTAATAAATTTGTATTTCACTCTCTCAATCCAATTAATATACGATAAAAAAAAATTAAGAGATACGGCCTGATAGCTGTATTTTCTCCATTATACTTGCCCGACTTCTTCGTCATTTAGTTGGTACTTTGATTTTAAATATTTAAATTTAAACATTTATAACATAAACCTGTGCTTGTATTCTTATTTTTAAGAAGTGAATAATACACTAAGTAATTATAATTTCTAAAACTAGAAAGGGAGCTAATATAATTTTATTAAATCTCATAATTTATTTTATTTTGATTAGTATAATATTACTTACACGAACATTTTTTTCTTGCAAATTTAATCACCACCATTCATTATTTTTCTTAATGTTCCTTTTTCACCCCCCATCTCATCAACGGTCCCTATCACTTCTGCGAGGGATATTTCTCTAAACAAATATCTTTCGGTTTGTTCAATTGCTCTTAATTTGAATGTTCTAAACAAAACTTTGTTTTTATTCCATTTCCTGCAACCAAATTGTTTCAAAGAAAAATAGTGAAAAGAGAATAGAGAACCACCGAAGGATAGTCTGGTCCTAGCAGAGACTGAAAGTGATAGTATTATAATCAAAGGATCTTCCAGATAGAATCACGAGTTAACGATCTTACCATATCTGTGCAGTGGAGTTTTACATTTATACAAAAATACAAGGCCAATATCTTACAAGCACTCTTCCTAGCCGTATAAAACAAGGTAGAAAACTGAGGTTTTAAACGTAAACTTCAAGACATACAATGTCTAAATTCATTGGCATTTTCCACATCGTGAGTTTGCACCTGCTCATTTTCATTCAAGCTAAGCATACCATTAAAGTCAAAAGACATTATCTGCATTCCTTCGGAATCGAAAGTAATGAATATCCCACCAAAAAAATTGCACTTGTATTTTCTGAAGGCTCAAAGAAAATTGTTTTATTTCTTTGTGCTCTCTAATCAAATGTACATGTGTCAGTGAATGAACAGCCTAGCTGCAAATGACTATCATCTATATATCTACGAATTAGAATTATGTAATACTACAACAAAGGATGCATGGACACAGCAAGGGAGATAGTTCTTAAGACGCCACCTGCTGCAATGGAGGCCAAGCAATATCATCATCATTGGTGTAGCCCAAGAAAACGAAGTCGCTACAATTCTTCCAACAACCATGGTTATATGGGTTTCTGAACCGCCCATCGGCACCTCGAAGATACTCATAGCGGGATGAATTTGCATGTTCATTCGTGGTCAGATTTCGAGCTATCTGCATTATGATTTACAAACATGAAAATTCTTCTACAGCTAATACCATAGAGAGTTAGAAACTATGTTTGTGTGTGTGATGCTTGGATGCAATTATGTATATTTCAAAGCCTTCACAGTTGACCAGCATGATATGATGAGAGTAAGTTGCTTAACCGAAGGAAAACTTGCAAACAATTTGACAATATACCATTGACGAATTTGAATCCTCTCCTTTTCCTAAAGGTGACATTTAATTTTTGGAGAGAGAATTCTTATGCAGAGCTTGTGAACTCCTGCACAAGAAATGGTGGCTTCATGCAAAGAGAAAAGACATTTCCTAAAAGAAAGGAGAGGATCCAAATGCACCACTGACTACTATCATTTCTTATGCAGAGCTTGTCTCACTATCATTTCCTAAAAGAAAGGAGAGGATCCAAATGCACCATTGACTACTCCATGTAAGTTATTTATCATGTTGGGCAGATTAGACATTCCTAATATATTCAATATGGAAGGGAAAAGAAAACAAGAAGTGCAAGAAGCGACAGTGGGAAAAGCAACCTAGAAGGTAAACTAACCAGGGGAAAAAAGTGAGCACTAAATTATGAAAATAAGACAAGAGTGTACAAGAAAGAATTGGCGAACTGTGGAAATAGTAGGACCTATAGAATACTGAATGAAGATACCAAATGAACTTTTAAGAGTGACATCAAATGAATATAAGATGAAATACCATTATCAAAGAAAGCATGATTTACATAAGTGAGGAAGCCAACGTGCAATGCAGTGCGAGAATAATTGAAGAGCATCTAATAAAGATCCAGCTGAGGAACCAGTACTGAAGAACAGGGTTGCCAATTAGAAGCAAATGTAGCCTTGGATAGAAATGGTAACATCATATGAAAGATTGACATTGGATATGTTAAGAACCAACTCTTTCAAAATCTTAAGCTATTAGATAAAGGCTCATGAATAGTTTTATATCATGCAAGAGCCTTTTGGGCTTTTAAGCATGAATAATGCTAAGCCCAGCCTATCTTGTGCTTAAATTCAACTTATATTTAGAAGAATGGGTACAACAAGGGTCAAACTCTAGACCATTTGGTCATAGATGCTCAAAATACCATGTCAAGAACCAACTTTCCCAAAAGCTTAAACTATTAGATGAAGACTCGCGAATAATTTTAATTCTAACAATAACAGGATCCATGTGAAAAGGCTCAAAGTTTGAAAAATATAATGGATTTGTCCCATTTATTTATGATAGCAATAGTCATAATAAGTAATAATAATTAAAAAAATTAGATGACATAGAAAGATTTATATAATTGCAAGTATACACAGAATAAATTTTGTCTGACAGCCTTCCTCATATATCTAATTTTCTAAATCCAGGTTCTATAGGATTGTTTTCTAATTCTATATTTAAAATGAAAAGAGAAAACAAATTGAAGTGAACATTAAGGATAAATGAAAATCTGGTCAAAGTGAGCTAGTGCCTTAATGCCTTTTTTTTTGCAAATGATACAATCCTACTTGATAAGTCCAGACGAGTAAATTCCAAGCTTGTGTTGTGGAGAGAAGCTTAGGAGTCAAAGAGGTCTGGGTTAAGCGTAAGATGGAATATATGGAATGAAAGTTCAGGAAGACCTGAGGAACATGTCATAACACAAGTTGCACGGTTTAGGTATCTTGTATCCATCTTACAAAGTGGTGATGTCACATTTAGTATCCAACCTGGATGGATGAAATGGAGAAAGGCCTCACGCATAGTATGTGATGACCAAAAAAGGTATCAAACTCAAAGGAAAATTTTACTAGATAGCTATAGTATGTGAAAGACCTGCAATATTATATGGAGTTGAATGTTGGCCAGCACATGGGCAATATGAGCATAAAATGGGAGTAGCAGAGATGAGGATGTTAAGGTGGATGTGTGGTTATACGAGGATGGATAAGATAAGAAATGAAGATATTCGACCAAAGGTAGGAGTACTACCGGTGGCTGAGAAAATGAGAGAACATAGATTGAGGTGGTTTGGGCACGTAATGAGAAGGCCCCTGGATGCTCCCGCAAGAACAGAAGTTTGTTACCAAGAGCTCAACACAAAAAAAGATAGAGGTAGACCAAAACTTACTTGGGAGAAGGTAGTAAAACAAGACTTAATGGAGTGGGATATAAATTGGCGAACGGTATGTCTTAGAACAGAATGGAGAAAAGCTATAAGCATGATGGAGGGTTAAACTCGTTGTTATTCCTATGTTCCAGATGGTCCATTTTTAGTCCTTTTCCCCTTCATTTCCCCCTCTTCTTCTTTTCCCTTTCTTTTTTACTTTTATATATATATATATATATATATATATATATATATATATATATATTACTATACTATTTAGTTATTTTTATTTTTATTTTTATTTTTACTTTTATGTTTCTTTTTTTCAACCTTTTGTATTTTTCATTTGGGTTCATCTACCACCGACCCCAATTAATTTGGGATAAAGATGTTGTTGATGTTGATGTTGAGCTATAAGACAAGTGATTCTCTATGGTAATAAATGTTGGGCAGTGAAGCGCCAACAAAAGCACAAAATAAGTGTGGCAGAATGAGAATGCTGATATGAATGTGGGACATACAACCAAAAAAATTGGATAAGATTTGGAACAAATGTATCCGGGAGAAAGTTGGTATACCACCTATCAAACAGACGATAGAAACTTGACTAAGATGGCCTGGTTATGTGAGAAGAACAGAGGCTCCAAAAAGAAAGGTGGATCAAATGGAAGACCTGAGAAAACTTTAGGAGAAATCATTGAAAAAGAACTCGATTAGCTGAAAATTTGGTTTCCGAGAGAAGTAAGAACTCAATGGAGTCAATTAGTCCATGTAGTCAACTCCATCTAGTGGGATAAGGCTTGTTTGATGGCTGGACAAAGCAGTCAAATTAGGTTTACTTGTTCGATAACTTATTCTCAACTTCACACCCAATCTCATAAGAGTAGCTCATGGATACTGCACCCTTCCTATATTAAGTTGCAATTATATTGGCAAATTAAAAAAAAATCCGAATAAAAAATATGGACGATGAAGGAACAAAATCTGGTTATTCTAACAAAAGGTGGCTATTTTTCCTTCATGGTAAATATTTATCAGTAGTTCTTTTCAGTAATTTTCCTTAATATATTTGCTTCTAAGAACCTTTATGATTATTGAATATTGATAAAAAGTTGTTAAGTATGGTTTAAGCAATCACCATGTAAGTCTGTGTTATCGTTAAAGTTGTAGCTGCAAGGAAAACAAAGGCATCCATCACCAAAAATACAACAACACCTGGATGTCTTACTAACACATGATGGATCCATGTTTCTCCAGCCGCTATTGCTGATGTAGATGTCCAAATTCCTGTCACAGAAAACAAGGCTGTTATCTAGTTCAAGTGAAATAATAAATTATACAACTTCAATAACTAGAACAGTGCAAAAGTAGCTCTTTAAGACTTACTTTGAACCGCAATGGCACCAGAAAGGATAGAAGACAAAGTTGCCAAGCAAACAAAAATAAAGAAATCCCTTTTGTTCCTCTGCAAGATGCATATCAATTATGATATTAAGGCTCATATGAAATGAGGAAAAGAAGAAAAACCACTCCTGATTTGACTAGAAAGGTCAAAGGCTAATAGAGCATCTCATTTTCAAATCAAATATACCCATTGAGGAAGGGAAAACATCCTCACTTGATTTACCATATATCCACCTATCTTAATTACACCAGAAGAAAATAAAAGAAATCCATCATAAGAATGCACTTTGTTCTAGTGGGTAAATATTAAAATAGCACAACACTCCTTACCTTTCCAACGCAGTTGGATATCCAAGGACAATGGTGGTCGAACTGTTCCACACAACGCTTACAAGTAGGGCAATGCTTAGATCGGACAGGTCTTATTATCTGATGATACAATTCGAGAAAACCTGATAAGTGATAACTTATTTTGAGAATATAATACAGTAAAACATAAATGTAAGTAAAGCATCAACATTAGACTGTTCAACTACTCAAGAATGACCAAATTGTGGTAGCTTAGTTGATAGCAAGGGAGCTGAGTAAATGGTAAGGAAAGGGCCTCGATTCGATCCCCACATGCCACCTTTGGGAGGGGTTTAAATATCTTCATCCCTGACCCGCTCCGCATTCCAGATTAGTCTCATAGCCGACTCAAAGAATTGAAGCTTGTGGGGATACCGGGAGGAGCCACTCGCCTCAAAGGGTTGGGTTAACTCCCAAAAAAAAAAAAAAAAAAAAACTACTCAAGAATGCACATAAAGTAAACCTTGCAGGTAGGGCAAAGTTGAGACCAATTTCCCATCCAAACAGACGAACTATTCAGATCAATATTCAATAAAGGATCCTGCAGAATACAAAAATGTAACATTCACAGATTCTCCAATATAAAAATACCAGCAAACACATCCATATTAAAGTAAAAGGGGACATTTACATGGTGATATAAATAATCATAATGTTATTGTCAATGTTCTAGTAAAATCTTAGGAGTTACATCAAGTATTGCATTCCCTGACATGCAACAGAAATTGTGGGCCACATACATCTATTGCTTGCTAAAATAAATTCAAGTCATATTCTAACTAGATGATATCTAAGTTACCATAAATACAGTATAATTTAAATGTTCACATTTTATGCCACAACTTATTACCACAAAGTCGTTACTCAGGAAAGAGGACCCCTGTAATATGATAGTCTTCCCTTCATAAAATCTGGCTCGGGTGCAAGTCTTCTTCTTTAAAATCAACTATTACTTGCAAGCAATATTTTTTATACAATAGCCATGAAAGGATTGCATACCTCTGTATCACTTTGAGTACCGGAGTCTCTTGGCCGTTTTATATAACCTGGATCTTTACTGAAAATGATTGAAAATAACACCAATAAATTATTGTAAATGATGGCAAGTTTAAAAAGAAACTTCAAGAAAAAAAATTCTGATATATCAGGACACTTACTATGATGCTTGAAAGTACTTAATTGTATAACAAACATATATTTTGCATGAATATGGACAACAAATGACATTATCAGTATTAAACTTATTGATATAACACGATGACAAGAATGGGCATAGAACATATGGTTGCCAAGAAAATGCTATAAGATTAGAAACCATAAAATATCTGCTTCTTATTTAAAGAATTCAACGCATAAGGAAAAAGCTCTTCACAGGTTCAGATCCTAAGTCAAGTGATAAAATAATCGTATAATTTCAATTAACATTTAGCTATCCCGCATTCAATAAAACTTCTTATTGTTATGTTCATTTCTTTTCTACACTGGCTCCTACTTTCCTTCAGCTTATATCCTAAATCTCATATTGAGGGACACTACAAGTTACTTGCTATTTGAGAATGAAATATATTTTTCATGTATTTTACTAAACTGTATGTATCTTCTAACCTAGGCTGGTATTCACTGCAACCAAGCCTATAGGATACTTAATATATTGTTAACTAGTTAGTTTAATTAGTAAGACAGTCAAGAAGTCTGTTAGCTTTCTGTTATAGTTGTTGTGATCGGGTGTGGCTGATTTTATTCTTATGTTCTAGCTCCAAACTTCTCCAGAAAGCTTTCTTGTATCCTATAAATAGGTTGCTCCATGTTTAGAGTAACCAAGCTTGAATAATACAAGTATTCAGAAAACTCTCTCTCTCTCTCTTTCGTTTCTCACTTTTCCCTCTCTTCCCTTTACATGATTAAAGGTCTCATGAATTACTGGAAGCATCCACAAGCCAATTGATTGTGCTGCAATTCATAAACCTTTACAGTTGTAGCCTTGTCAAAGTGGCAAAGGTCACCCACTAGATGCTCTACTTCAGCACTAATCATATTGTTATGTCATTCCAATCTTAACCCTTAAAATCATTAAATGATGCAAGCCAAAACTAATAGCTAAACAGAAAAAAAAAGTAAAAATTAAAATGAAGGTCACCAATGATATTTTTGGTAATAAAAATACTGATGAAAACAGAAAAGGTTATTCTCCAATTCTTCTTTGGTAAAACCTTAAAAGAGTTCCGATATCACTTCAACATGCAAAGAAACGTTAGTCAAGTTTCAGCCCTAACTCTTAGATCCAACTTCCGAGTTCCTAAAAAAATTTATTGGAGCATTCGCTCTATGACAACATGCATACATCAGTAGAAGGTATTAAATCAAAGGATATACTGTCACATAAATATGAAGAGAGTAGATACATTTATATTACCATCTTCTACACACACAAAAGCAGAAAGAATACATGACACAGAAAATTACCTACTACACCTATAAAACATAATCAGGGCACCAACTGCCAAAGAAAGAGCAGTCCATGCCCAAAGTCCAACAACAGCAGTAATCTTTATAAGACTAGGAGCTGGCATGAGTGGAAGAGATTTAGTCATGGTTAGTCATCTTCATAGAAAAACTCAAGTAATATGAGTATGTGCTCATAATACTTTGGCATACAATTCTTGAAGTACCTGCAACAACTGAGTTGATGAAGAGGATCATGAGGAAGACTATAATACAAAATAAGATGGGAGCATAACCAATATCTGTCACCATCCCACTACAAAGTTTGCCTCTCCAGTAGTTGCTATGAGACCGTAGTTGATTAGACTGCAAAAATATAAATGAACACTAATCAGTCACAGAGCCAATCTGGGTATAACTGCATAAACAAAATGAAACAAGACACTGTTCCCATGCAATTTCCAGAAGCTAAATGTGATGGTCCAAACTAACAGCATCATCATTCACAAATTAATTTCGCAACTTCTGCCAGATATAAGATTCTCCCTTTTTTGCACCCAAACAAATAGAGAAGAGTAAAGAAACTCAAAGTTAACACTATGGTTAACTACTGTCAGTCAAGAGTAAAGGATAAATACAACGTTAAGAATGCAAAGGTTGCAGAAACGGATCAGTTAATCAGTACTGTGATGGCATAAATTTGTCCACTATAGCAAAGGTTAACCACTTAATCTTACTTCTGCATGACCTATAACATTGCCAGATACTGCTAAATTATGTTGCTTACAAGGAACAAACTTCAATAATTTAACAGATGTCCTGTTTTTACTTCCTGAATACTCAGAAATAATTCCTTAGGTTCTAGCACCATGATTAGTACAGTATATCAGGCTTCATGCATTAAATATTTAAACCATCTTATGCTAATATGATTAGCAGGTTAGCATTCTTCCAGAAAGATGTTCCAGCTCTTTTTTTTTTTATACATAAAGATGTTCCAGCTTTACTCAGTTGAAAAGTAACTCAATATTGAAGATATCCATAAATAACTGAAGCTTGTTATTCAATTTTCCCATTCTTTGTACACTTTACTATTTAAAATTTTCACAAATATAACACATCCAAAATAAGCCATAATTTTTTAAAATATTATGCCCTTGGTTTCTTTTCATATTTAAGAATATATATAGGAGATTGTCTGCACAATTAATAGAAAAATTAAGTCAAGGCACCACTCTAGTTGACATGTTCAAAAACACATTTGTATTATTAGATAAAAAAATAAGATATAAAAACCATTAATGTGCCTTCACCCAACAATTTAAGTTTTTGGGAAAATTAGTTCATGATATCAAAGCATCTATAACCATGTGATCTAGAATTCAATCCTTTTTAGCTCCCTTTCTTCTAAAATTAAAAAAGATAAATTTCAACACAAGATTAGATAGGCCTATGCATTGTCCACACGTTTAAAGCCCAAAGGACTCTTGTGTGAGGGGGCGCGTTAGATATAAGCTTTTGGGATATTTAGTTCATGGCACATAAGCCTGTGATATCCTGCACTCAGCAAAACAAAACATGACAATGGTTATTAAGTACCACAAGTCTCGTCAAGAATGTTCTTAAAAAAAGACACAACCAATAGCCTCATCAATACAATGTTACGTACAAGGAAAGGGGCGACATGCCGATGACCTTTATCATATGCAAGCTGTACAGGAGTGAATCCAGCATTGTCCTTCACCATCAGTTCTTCCTTTGTGCCTGCATGTACAAGCACAGCGCATGCCTCTGCATTTCCTCTTAATGCAGCCCAATGCAACGGTGTACAACCTAAACCAGTTTTATTGAGTATTATCTCATCAAAAAACTAAAATGACCAACAGAACTATCAGTTAATGGCACAAAATGACCTGCTTCAAAAGTATTAATTAAAAAAATTTCAATCTGACGTAATAATTATTAATAACATTCAAACTTTCATGAAATTATCATCAAATGTAAATACATAAAATCTCAAATCTGTGCCCCAAACAAACTCTTGAAGCATCCTAAATTTCAAATAGATAAGTCCAGCATACGAATCCCTTGAATCAGCAACTAGAAAGCATGGACACGTTAAAATAGATGAAGAGTCGGTGTTCGACACGCACACGCTCCTGACATGTGTCAGACACATGGTCAACGATTTCCGACACTTTGACCAATTCGACATGTGTTTGACCGAGTCCGTCACGGTCAAATGACATTTTTTGTAAATAAAATGACAATTTTTCAAAAGAAAATGGGGAAGATGAAAATGCTCCATTAAATGAAAATAATTGAACTTTTATTGTTATGTAGTATTGTAGTCTACATATCTTATGGTTTTCTATGGATATTCTATTACTTTTGCTTTCTATTAATGTAATGGAATTATGGAAATGATTTATTTATTTATTTTAACTTTTTTGGTTAAATTGATGGATATAATCAGTTTTTTTTTCATTTTTTTGTTAAGTTATTGAATATGAAATGTAATACACGCTATATATATATTTTTTTAGAATTGACGTATCATAGTGTCGTACAGTGTCGTGTTGCGTGTCGGTGTCGGTGCCTCATAGACCAGCAACATCAAGATCATGAAAACAACATGTACATGATATCTACAGTAATGTCATAATAATAATGCAACCTTGTATTAGAAAGGTGTTCATAAGAGAATGACAAAACATTTTCAGTTTGAAATTTTTTTTTTGGATAAAAGTTGTATTAGAATTAGAAAGAGACAACAGTACAAAAAGATGGAGGATATGGAATCCTCATACCAGAAAAAGAAAACCAAACCAAACACACAAACTAATCAGTGTAAAAGAGCTGCCCAATCTCATATTTCTTGCAAAGCCTGTCTAGTACCCACTACCAAATATATCAATCCCATACAGCATCCGGTGCTCTCCTAAGTGATAGCTAATCTCAACATCCGATGGAACGACTTCAAATACATTTATGTTGGGCTGGTCTTGATTAAATACTAAAAACTAGAGAGACGGAGGGAGAGACAATTATGATATAAAGAACACATAATTGAGAACTTAAACAAATGTAAAGGGAAATTAATTGCCAGCTTGGCTTACCATCTTTATCTTGTCTTCCTTGACTTGCATCTCTAAATAGAAGCAATCTTATTGTATCAGCAAATCCCTTATATGCAGCCCTGGTCATAAGAACTAAGAACTTGAGAAACTAAGTAAAAAGAAAATCAACTTCTTCAACTGATTTAGTTTGCTGAATATGCGACCATAATTGTTAGAAACAATCATATAGCATGGGCTTCAACAATTTGACACAATACATTTACAAACAACCTAGAGTCCTTCAAAATTCTTTGAAGCACATGGAGACCTCATCCCATTGATTAATACTCCATTAAATTAATTAGTTTGAAAACAAATTACAATTTACCCAAAGCATTAACTGCACTATATATTTAATGAAGGATTTAAATAATTTTATGAGTGCAATAAAAGCAGAAGAAGAAGAAGATATGTGTGGTGGAACTATGACATTCACAACCAAGCCAGCACCAAAATAAGGTTTCTTGACCCATACATAACAATCAACAGATTTATGGCATACCAATGAAGAGGACTCCTTCCATCATTATCAGCCACATCAAAATCAGCATGATACTTTACAACAATATGATTTAAGAAAGCTGTCTGTCCATATTGGGCGGCAACATGAACTGCCTGTACAAACCATTTAACTATGAAAACAGCAAAGTATTGGCAAACATAGATTCAATTTATGGATGGCGTGGAAAAATTACTATGTATTTGACTGCACATTCAAACAGAACATATAAGAGTTTGAAAGAATTATTCCATATATATTATTAAATAACTATGCAAATGAAAACAAAAAAATCAAAATTACTTACATATAAGAATGTCAATCAGATTTGGCAGGCACCTGACCCATATTCACGCATTAAATTTGGACTCAAGAACCACATAAACAGGTGGTAGGTAGGATGAGTCCAGGGTTTTCTTTATACAGGTATGGGTGTTGATCAATTTTACACAGGACCCCGCATGCTCACCCATTCTTTGTACCCAAATACCCATACAATTAATAAGACTTTAAAACACAATTTATTTATCCAAAAAAGGGACAAAATTGATAATATTTAAAATTTATATAGCTTTTTATAACTATTGTCAAATATAAAATGGTAGGGCTCAACTACATAAGGCCCAATATGGCAAAGTATACATCAGGGACCGTAATAGGGGTAAATGGCCCAAGAAGAATATTAGTGATGCTGTTTTGTCACATTCCATTGAGCATGCTGAGTCAGCTGATTTGTAACAAAAGTTTGTTACTCATGCAGTGCTTGAAGGTGATAAAGGGGAGTCGTGAACGTCACAAACGGTACCGAGGAGGTCATTTGATTGCTGATGCAAATGGAGAGATCTCAGGGCATCTCGAAGGACCCTGAAGCCCTTTAGATTCTGTTCAATTTTTCTTTAATTTTCTTTGCAAATTCTGAGCTATAGCAGCACTATAGTATGTAACCCGATTCTGTTTCATGCTGAATACTGTTGATCTTACTGGTTTGAGTTTATTATAGAGGAATTATTCTGGAAATACTGTTGTTTATCGTTTAATTCCTATCATAAAACCATTCATGGGCTTTAACCTAACAGTTTAAATTTTCATGATAATTAGTTCATGACATAGTATTAGAGCCTCTATGATCATGTGGTCTAGAGCTTGATCTTTGTTGCCCCGAAGTTACAATTTCAGTACAAGGTAGGGTGGGCCTGTGCATTGTCTATGCTTCAAGTTCAAAAGCTCTTACATGAGGAAGCGTGATAGATATAAAACTATTCATGTGCTTTCAACCAACAGCTTAATAATCACTATAAGTAATTTTAATATCATTGATCTTATTCTTATTGACAAAATATTGGAACACTCACGGTTACAAGTAACAAAGTTTTTAAAAAAAAAAATACACCTACTGAGTAAACTAAACTCTTTCCTTGCTTCTTTTTCCCATTATACATTCCTTATTAGCCAAAACAAGGTAAATACTTCTATAAATGTTTTACAAATTATTATAACCTTAATCAATAAGTCAGGTGAAAATTTGATATTTAAATATTCAGGTATCAAATAGAGAATAAAATTGGGTATAGAGCTGCTATTCAGGGTAAATGGATTTGGATATGGGTGGTTAACTTTAAAATCAACTGCAGGTATGAGTTGACACTAGGTCACCAATTCGAATTTGGATACAATAATTTTTAACTACGGGTTTTAAAACCCCCTCAAAACCCGTGCCCACCCATTTGAAATCCATAATTTCACAAAACAAGCAAATCCTCCTGAAAATCTGCCAGAATATATCCATCTTCTAAACAACAATAAGACAAACATGTAAGATTGTATTACAAAGGGGGGAAACAATACCCGGAATCCATTTATATCTGCAGCTTCAACCCGAGCACCATTCTCCAAGAGCACATCAGCAGCAGCAATTGAACCACGAACTGCCGCCCAATGCAATGCCGTTTGTTGTATGTTGTCTGTAGCATTGACATCAGCCCCATGCTTCAACACAAAGACCCACCCAAGTACAGTTAAATTAAACTACATTCGACCCAAATCAAGTTAATTAGTATAACCCACAAACGCCTTCCGGATAAATTAACTCAGAGGCCCCATTAATAGTTACAGAAACTATTAATTTCTAGCAAAGTCCAAATAATTTAAACTTGCATAATCAACCAAAGAAGAAGAAAAAAATCATTTAATTTTTTTTTTTAAAGTTCAATTTTCTAGTCATTAACATTAATTCTGAGCTAAAGCACATAAACAACACCAAAAAAAAGTGCAAAAAAAAAAAAGGAATACCTCAATGAGATATTGCGCAATCTGATGGAAGTTGTTAAGGCATGCCCATTGAAGAGCATAATAACCATTAACATCGGGAACAGAAACGGAGGCACCATCTTGTTCCACAAAGGTCCTCAATTTGATAAAGTCACCATAAGAAGAGGCAGTGAAGACGTCGAGGATAGGAGGCTGCTCGTAGATTTCGTTGGGCTTGGAACCCGATGATACTACCTCGATCTCCGATGAAGCCATTGGATGAGGTAGCTGCTACAGCATTCGATTCGATTCGATGAGATTCGAAGAGAATAATTAAATGTGTAGTTAGGGTTTGAAGGGGTCACGATTATACCCTAATTGGAAATGGCGATTTGTGATTGGTTGTTAAGAAAACAAAAAAGGTGAGAGAAACTGTGAAGATTAAGTTGGGGTAGTTTCATCGAGAAGCTTCTCTTTTGTTATCTAGTGCTGCTATAACTTGCTCTAGTTCCTCTCTCTATCTTTTCTCAATGGAAGCTTCCTCCTTCAATTTGTTCAAAACTTGCCCCCAAAAATGAAAACAGAGGAGATGAACCTTAACCCCGGTTGAATATATATGTTCTACGAATAATTTTCTTACATAAAACACACAAGGTATATGCGACGCCGTTTTTCGATTTAATTTTTCAACGTTCGTGACCACCACTTTACGAATACACAGAGAATTGACGGTGAATAAGAGGAGATTTGTTGATTTCATCGTGATTTTGTCGTGATATCTTACTGTGTACACGACAACTATTCTGTTCCGCGTTTGGTATAAGAGAAATTTTTTTTATCAAAAAAATAAATTTGCTCTGAATATGATGGGAAAAAAATTTTGTCGGGTAAGTTAAAAAAGCATTTGGTAGGTCAAAATTTTTTCTAAAAAATTAGATAAATTTTAATGATGTTATATGTAAAATTTTACAGGAAACATTTTTTTTTCATCTTATCCATGGCAAAATTTCACTTATGGTGTATGTGTAAAAAAACTAGATGGGAAAAAAATTTCTCATACCCCTTTTAACTTTTTCTCCTATCAAATATGGCCACATATTTTTCCCTATCCTCTTTTCCCGGACAATTTTTTTTCCTACTACCAAACACTCCCTTAAGTGTTTCTAATAATTCTTTTTTTTTTTATTCTTTAGAACAGTTTCTAAAAAATAATATGTTTGGTCATATATTATATTTTTATTTCAAGAAAAAAAAATTACATTTGATAACACAATAAATAATAGAATAAAAAATATCCCTATGAAGAATAAAAAAAATTCAGATCATTATTTTTTTGTCATGTGATATGGTGGTGGTGACAACAGTGGTGGTGACAGCAATAATGGTACGATAATGGCGATGGTCGTGTCGTGATGTTGGTAATGGTGGTGATGATTGTAATGATAGAGAGATTGTAGTAATAGAGAGTGATTGATGTTTCTCATTTTATGTCCCATAACAAATAAGTCGAAAAAATTTTATTCGTTTTTTTTCCAGCATAGAAATTGAACCAGTTCATTATCGGGAACAAAAATAATAAATTAATTTTGTCAAACACTATTTTTATCCATTTTTATTTCTGGGAACAAAAATTGAAAGAAAAAAAAATGATTATGAGGAATTTTTCTTCGTTTCTGAGCTATATAACCTCGTTTAATTCTTGTCATTGAATCAATGAAACTTTGATGAATAACTTTTTTTTCGTTCAGTTATTCTTTTCTGCTTCCTAGTCTATTAATAACGAAAATGGATTCTTCCAATGTATAAAATATAAATTCCAACGGCTTTTGCTACTATAACCTTCCCAACCATTTTTTTTTTATTCTAAGCAATTAACCCCAAAATAAGAAATTGTATGGATACAGGGTATAAAAAAAGAGTAAATGAAATAGAAATAGATAAAGAAATGGTGTGATGCACACACTTGAGGAGTCTCCTGCTATATTTTTTTAGAGTAAATACATTTTTTGGTCCTCAGCAAATTTCACGATGCCCGCTTTAGTCTCTGGTAAATAAAAAGGCCCATCGTGGTCCCTAAGAAATTCAAAATGGACTCATTTTAGTCCTTTTAGGGACTAATATGGGTCTTTCTTTTTTGAATTTGTGAGGGACAACAATTTCAACTAAATGGGTCCATTTTGAATTTCTTAGAGATCACGATGGGCCTTTTTATTTGCTAGGGACTAAAACGGACATCGTAAAATTTGCTGAGGACCAAAAAGGGTATTTACTCCATTTTTTTAAGTTAAAAAGTTACTTTGAGTTTTTTCTCTCTCTCTCTTCCCTTTACATTTGGGACCCACATATTTTTATTTAGGGAAAACTTTAAAAAATCAGTGTAACTTTTCTCATAATCATTTACTCCCTTCCCAAAATTTTGAATCATTTACCCCTTGATTTCAAGTTTTTTTATCATTTACCCCCTAAGTGAGGGGGGTAAGTGATAAAGAAATCTAAATAAGAGTGTAAATGATTCAAAAAAATTGTGACAGAAGTAAGTGATAATTAAGAAAACTCATAGGATTTTTTTTGAAGTTTTCCTTTTTATTTATGTTTAAAATTAAATTATTTCCTACAAGATTAATCACTTATTAATTTTATTGAGATGATCAATTTTTAATTTTCCAATTATTTTTTTAAAAAGTTCCACAATTAATCGTTACCAAACATGCCTTTATCTTTAATTTGTTGATTATGTATATGTACATGATAATGGCGGGTATGGGTCCATTGATCTGACATAGTGTAACTTTGTCATTTTATTAAAAATTAACACAATTTTTTGCAGCGGAAATATTTTTTTTATTCGGAAATAACAATTTTTGTGAACATAATGAGAAAATGAGTTTTTCGAAAATGTTACTAAAAAAAATTTTAGTAGACTAAAATATTTCCCTAAATGTTAGGTTAATTTTGCTGACACTATATTTAGTTATTTTTATTTGAAAATTTAATTCGTAATTTCCTATCGTCTGGATTCCTGAAATATTATTCTCTGGATGATATTTTTTAGTGATGTTTTGATTTAGAAAATACACACAAAATAGAATCCCAAAAAATAACTTTTTGGAAAAAAATTCTACAATGTACTACCAAACAAGAGATTATAGAAAACCACACAATGGGTGCAGCTCAGTTGGTAACTTGGTGCTGAGTTAGTGGGGTTGGATATGTGTTTGATTCCTGCTGAATGCATTCTTAGGGAGGGGGCTGAACCTTTAGTCATCACTGTTCCCCCGCACTCCGGATTAGTCCCATAGCCGGCTCAAAGAGTCGAAGCTCGTGGGGATACCGGAGGGAGCCAACTCGTCTCAAAGAGATAATTAGGGTTGGGTAACTCCAAAAAAAAAAAGAGATTATAGAAAACCCACCCTCACTTTCTTAACCATCTAAGAATAATTCTTCTACCAAACACCGAGAAAAAAGATATGCACAGTTTATGGATGTTGGTTTCTTGCTTGGAGTTTTTTGTGTATAGATTGGTTTGTATTTTGTATATAGAAATTGATTGTTTCATATTATGTGAGAGGATTTTAACTATTTAAATATAAATCAATAGTAATAGGATAATGTATTGAGATAAAAAAAGAAAGAAAGAAAGAAGAATAGAAGTTGATTTCTATCTTAAATGGTTAAGAACATGACTTTAGAATAAACATCAGAGAATTCATACCCTTTGTATATAAATTAGTTTGTGGCTATCCTACATATTTTGGTCATGTGTTAACGGGCCGAGCTTTGATCTTAACGGGTCAAGTCTCTATTTAAATGTGTCAGACTGGCCTTTGTCTGTTACCTGTTACGAATATAATATTAACCTGTGGCCTGGTTCGTTTACAAAAAATAAAATCTTGTCTCAAGCCTGTGGCATGTTTATTTATTAAAAATAAAAACCTTACCTTCCAATTTGTAGCAGTATTTAGCCCATTAATCATGCACTGATATGTATTTTTTTGTAAGAAAATAATAGTTGTTTCTTTTATAATAAAAAAACATTAATATTAAAAAATCAAAATAACAACAACACCTTTACTTTATTTTACGTTGCTTTTTCTTAATTTTCTTCCACATTCTAGATTTTTTACATTAAATTTTCTTCCACATTCCTTAATATTCTAGATTTTTTGCACTAGATTTGAACCCCACCAATAAATTTTCTTCCACATTTTACATTAAATTTTCTTCCACGGTCGCCGCCATATGCATCATTATAAGCCGTGGAATCCGCATGGCTTATAAAAATAGATGATGAACATGACTTCATTTACCTGTTGGTGGGACGATGACTTAGATCGGGGAGAAGAGATAGAGCAGAGACAGAAAACTGAGAAAAGGATGTTGAAATTGTTGGAATTTTTAATTCCTCTAAACTTTATGGTGATAACTATCACCTACAAACCAAGATCCATCATACCAAATCATAAAAAAAAAAAATAAGAACAACATAAAGGTGGAGGAATACCTGTCTCTATTGCAGCGAAATAACTTTGATCTTGTCTCTTGGGGTTTGTAGTCTTCCTCAGTCAAATCACCCTAAAACCGAATTCCTTAGTGTGTCGTCTATCTCTTGATGGGGAAGAGAAACTAGGGTTGTTGTTTGACGTATTGGGGACCATAACCCTTTTATAGTGTTTTTATCTTTATTGTAAGCTCCCATTATACCTAGTTGGTCCAACACCGGTATCCACTCATTCAGCCCATACTCAATTAGGAATCTATTTGGAAATATTTAACTGATCACTTTAATTTACCCAATATATATAAATAGCACAATATAATTATTAATATAATATGTGACCCACAATAATTATTAGAAAATTATAATTTCCTAACAATCTCCCACTTGGGCCACATATTAACTTGAGATAATTATATCGTATATCTTTAGTGCGCAACTGTATGCTATTTTTCTTTAGATTCCTCCTTAGATACAATCTGGTCCACCTCCTATATCAATATGAGATCATGGCGGCTTTTGTCACTTTCAAGCGTAACTAAACCTTCCATGGTCATCGCACCAATATATTCAATGACATAGATCAAGTATGGATGAGTGGCATGGAAATTACATGCAATGTGATCTTACCATGCCTATTTCCAACTGGTCCTACTTTAATCTTTATGAGATCAATCCTAAATTTTCTGCATACACAAAGCAGAAACACAAGCACAAAATATAATACATTCAGAGGGAAAATATCATTGAATTCTTTATTCTGCAGAAAACAAACATAAGAATATTTCATTTATTTATTTACATAGAACACTAACATAAAGAACTCCCACTAAACCGTAGTGTCATCGAACAAAATAACACCCATATGAGCAGTATGCTCGTGAAAGACCTTAGGCACTAAGCCTTTAGTAAGCGGATCCGCAAGCATGGAGTTCGTCCCTATGTGTTCTATGGAAATCTAACCACTCTGAACTCTTTCTTTAACAACTAGAAACTTTATATCGATGTGCTTCGATTTTGAAGAGCTTCTGTTGTTGTTGGAGTACAACACTGCTGACCTGTTGTCACAATAAATCTTCAGTGGCCTTTCAACACT